GAAAATTCTACAATTTTCTTTTCATGTTTTTTTAGTTAAATAAAAGTGATGAATTAATGACACATGGTTTTATTTGGATGCTTTATTATGACATTGTAAAGTGATGAATAAAACCACTAAACACATGGTTTTATATATACACTGTATTATGACATCATAGGATATCATGTAGGTAACACCGTCAGTTCATAACATACTTTTATTGGGTCTTCCGTACATATAAGGTCAAAGATCATCATAAAATTTAACCCAACCTTAATTTTTACGAATCCCCGGATTTACATATGCCATCTGGTCCCATATCGTACATAAAAACGAAGTTTCACTAGATGGAAAGAAAAACAAATAAAATATACAGTATGTTAAGTCAAAAACCTTGTCAAATATAATTCTTTATTTAATTAATTTGCTTATGAATTTTTTTATATCAAAATGTCTGTTAATGAATCACAACTGTATTGTTTTGATCTCGCCTCATTGGATGTTGATAAATTGTAGATTTCCTTTTAAATATTCATTAGATTTTTAATTAAATTTTGGAGGACTTTCTATGTGTTTCCGTATACAGTATGGACTATCTCAGTCTACTTAATGAAGTACACAATTTCAGTGTTTTAAGTATTAATTTTTATATCTTTTCACAGTGATAGTTAAAATATTTATTAACTAAGGTTCAGGCATCAGGCCCGTAACCAGCGGTGTTCGGGGGTTCGGACGAACCCCGCCGTTTGCTAGCTGGCTCCGCTTGGATGGTAAAAAAAAAAATCTCGAAAGAAGATTGCTTAAACTTAAAAAAAATTTAAAATTTAAAAAAAACCATCCTGTTCAAATAATCTTTATAGACAGTAGCAATTTTTAATACAAGTTTCAAGATGGAACTCTTATTTATGTGGTCAGCGCAATTGGTTGGTTGTTAACATCTTCAAAAGGCTCCACTTTTTTTCAAAAAAATCCTAGTTACGGGCCTGGGCATTATGTAAATAGAATATTGAATTTGAAATTCAATAGTTTAGTATTCTGTATCAACTCTTGTATTAAGTAATGTATGTATTGTAAGTTATGTAAATATTAACATATTTGACAAGCTCATAGCATTCTTCCAAATGTTATGCATTTATATGCTGAATTAAGGAAGCATGGTGGGAGAAGAGAGATGGAGGTACTACAAGATTGTAAGAATTGACATATGAGGAGAAATGGCTTTATATTTAAATGAAATTTGTTTATACAAGATTTCTATAGAAAGTGGGTGAAATTTGTATAATAAAGTCGTGTTGATAACATTGACGAAAGCTCACAGTAAATTTACATCCATAGTGCTTTGTTTATTATTGATAAAGCAGTTTTACAGCTAAAATATATATATACCATATTTACATAAAATTTAGATACCAAATTTAACAAATGAAGTTAGGTTGCTTTGAAATTGGTCAAGCAAATTTATGAATGAGAAAAAGATAGAAACAATTTAAATATATGTTTTCGTAATTTTTCCCTTTTTACATGCTTGACCCAGTTTGATATACCATTATAGCACCCACACATAGATTGACAGTTAACAAAAGGACATGATGGTCTGGTAATACAGGAAATAGGCTACTTAAGCCACTCCTTTTAGTTCTGCTACCATGTTGTCTCTATTTCTACAACTACTACAGTTCCTATGATTTAAACCAATATTTAGATTTTATTTACAATTCTCAGCATGTGTGACGCTAACTGCCAAAGGTATGTCTTCAGTACTTTGTTAATCTACAATTACTATTGTAAAATATAGCAATGTATTTGTTTTGGGGAGGAATAATATTTTTCTTGTTCTTTTGAGAGTTTACCAGAATATACCCTAGGACTTTTTTTTTTTTGTATTTCATAAAATAATTGCTAATAAAACAAAACAGACAGACATGGCTGTTTCAAAGTAAGGCCTACAATAACACTTGTTTAATATAACAAAATGTTTTTTAGGATAAAATGGATCACTTTTCATGAGTTAACAAAATCAATAATGTTTCAGGCAAATTGAGTTTATCAAGGCAACATTGATTGATCTCATGAAAGAAAAAAATAATCAAATTTCATACCAGTCCAAAAATCCCAATATTTTAACAAAGAAAACCCAGCATCCCAATGTGTTATTAAACATATACGATTATCATAAGATAAGTCACAAGCAGTGGTCATCTGGATTGTATATGAGGGTAATTTTCTTATTTTTCTTTTCTAAATAGAGAGTAGCCATACATCATTCAGAGTATGTGTTATAGATAGGCTTTGTTTTTTCCATATTATATAGGGAGCCCTCTTCAGTTTGACATTAGTTTAACATCAGTAGACCATCTTTAACATATTGCAATTTCCCCTTCCGCATAATTATTGCATTAGAGTTTCAATGAAATATAATCTATCAATTATTAATAATGAATTGCCTTAGTTTTGTACAGTTCCAGTAAGCAGCATATACTACTTGGTAGGAGAAGGATAGAGCTATTACTGCATTAGTATATACTAGCTTTATATCTCAAATACTATTTGTTGGTGCAACCTGAAGCAGGTTTTGCTGTAATCTAACTTAATTTAATAATAATAATAATAATAATTTTGGCTTATATAGCGGATTATGCTAAAGCCTCAATGCGCTTAACAGTAAAAATAAAATTCGGGAACTAAAAAAATTTAATGCATTTTGGTTTAAAATAATCCCTTCCTTTTGTTAATGATTCCTCTTTTTGGTATTTAGTTTGTGTGTTGGCCTTGGCACCTGCACTTGTTCATATATTTATCAAAGTCAAAATAAATTAAATGAACAAAAGTATTTATTTACTTAAGCTTCAAAATCGCTTACTCAGATTTCAGATTAAGATTTGATTTATTCATCTCATACATTGTAGAAAAAGGAAATTAATAAATAAATACATAATCCGGTAACTTCACACGACTTCTAAGTACAGGTTGTTGTGCAGCTCAGTGTGTTTCATTCAGTTTACTTACTATATTTTAGTAAGAATTTTTCTTTTTAGATAATAAGGGTAAAATTTTACTGTAAATTGCTTGGTTTTGCTTTTGTTATGCTATTTATCCTTTTGTTGTTTTTGAACTGTCTTTTGCTTTCCTTTGCTTATTATTTTATATTGGTAATGGGTGCACCATCTAAGTGATGGGTGCCACTGATCTAAAAGTGAACCCAATAAATGAAAGTTGTTGTCTTGGCAAAAACATATAATACAGAACACCAAGTAGTATAAGCTAATAATATTATGCTTAATAAATACCGGTATATGTTAACTACAAATATGAAAGGCCTAATATTAGCAAAACGTAAAATGTAAGACCAGATTTTATAAATTGAGGACAATAGAATACAAAAACGTGTAAAATGTCCTTTATTTAAAATAATGTATTCTGCTAAATTGTACTGATATGGTTAGTAAAATATTTATTCATTTGTGGCAAAGACAAGCCAAATTCAGAGATAATCGCCAAAATATGATGGAATGTCCAAATTTTAAAAATCTATTTTATTGCACTAAACTAACCTTTATATGTCATGCTATGCCATTATTTTCCTGATTTTCAATGTTAAAACAACAATTTTTTACGATTTGGTGATGCTTTTTGCATGAGAAATGCCCAAAATCATAAACTTAGAAGGCTGATTGCTCTAATATTGTTCTTTAAACAGCTGTATGTCTAAACTCTTGTAACTTCTTAACAAAATGTAAAATTTTAATGATTCTTTTATCATTTTATAGCTCTCATTTTACTGTTTAACTCTGCATTAATAACTAAAAATCTATTTTTGCGACGAGTGACTGGTTTAGCTTGTCTTTGCCACATTTATTGAACAAGGGCAGTTATCAGTAGGAAAAGAACGGCCTGCCCATCGATGAATTCCTCTAATCTGAAGGAAGGATACCCTTCAACAGTGGTTAGATTTCCTGCATTGATTTGTTTCCTTGGTTCTTATGAATATGTCTCGGTATAAATGTTCATAATCTCAAAGTGTCTTCAAATTAAGGACGACTAGCAACACAAGTAACAGGTAATTGTAATTGATTGCAACAAACATTATAATACTGAAAGGTCTGCAATATTTATTGTAGAGAAAGCACAATTATTTTTGCAAAAAAAATTTCACATGAGACATTGAATTACATTAATTTTTGCATTCTTAACACTCTGACTGCCAGGGGTTTAAAAAGTAGTATCAGCCACTGCCAGACTTTTTAGCAAATTTTAACACTTTTCCGAAAGTTTGTTGAGAGTACGTATGTGATCAGATTGACATGTAGTGAATGCTACAAGAACTACAAATATTTTAGTTTTATAATGGTACCAAACACTTTATTCTATTCACAATCTGTGACCTGTAACATTAAAATAAATTTAACTAACTTTTAGAGGTTTACACAATTTTGCACAATGAAGCTGATATAATCGTGATTTCATGAAAGTAAATCAATACCGCTCTACGCTAATGTAAACAAGCAAACAGTGAAATACGTACGGTCAAGACTGAATATAGTGTTCAAATTGTTAGTACATGTCGGTAATTACCCATCTATCAGATTTTAGTATGTAGGTTTGAATGATTATTATAAGGGTGTGTAACCACATATATATACGTGTTAGTCATTTAAAGATGTATTAAATTGCCAACATATTAATTTTCCAAGAGTTTGCTAACATCAAACCTTAGCATTTTGATAATTTTTAAAATGTATATATTCATATTTTTATTAAGTTTTCATACTGTATTTATCAGTTTTCCAAATTCAGTAAATCAAATAAATTAAAAAAATCAAGTAATTCTAACTTAATGAGACAGATCTAATCAGGCAAATTACCAAATAAAATGTTGCTCCAAGAACTGATAGTAAATTAAATATAAAAATAACTGTAGCCACAAGAAAGTGTGAGCTCATGCTTGATCGATCAAGCATGACCATCAGTGTGCAAGGCATATGAAGTGAGGATGATCAATTTGAATTGCAGTAGCCACACAATAGATGATGTTCATTTATTAACGTCAATTAATATGCCTTAGCGCTGCATTTTGTAATATTACCTTCAGTAATGGTAGACTAGAACAAAAATTGCTTAGTTGTAAAGTCAAAAGAATTTGTTGCTGGTGATTTAATCTGTGGAGCTTGATTGAAAATTATCAAATCTTTATCGTGAGGAGGGTGGAAGAGGAGTAAAATGGCTTTAGAACCCGACTTGAAGTCAGATTGTATAGAGAAACAAGAGTAAGTATATAAACATAGAGTAGTTACAAGTATGAGACATGTAGGGGTTAAGATAATATAATCAGACAAGTAATATCTATTTTTTATATCATCAGGTCAAGAGTTTAAGAGTTTGGTTAAGTACCAATAATTCTAGATCTGATGAAGCTATGTAAATAAAGGAGGAATGTTTGCAATATGAAAGTTTTTTTTGTATTTCTTCGACATGTATTCTTTATGAAAAAATCAATAATTGTAATTTAATATTGTTGCATACAATCTATGAAATAGACATATTAATGTCTTTTCTGGCGCCTGTGATCATTTTTTGAAGTTGGCGTATTAAAAATGTTTGTGTTTTCTTAATACTGCATTATTATACCATTATTCTGAGTATATGTCATACCATTAAGCTTGCAAGTATTCTACAATTGGAATTGCATATAACAACAATATTCAGAAGGCATCAAATTCAACATTATAGTCCGATTTGTTTATTAATTAACTCCTCCCACTACAGTGGTTGTGTGCCTACTTTTTTCCAGTTTCTCCATATACCTTGATAAAGACCTAAGGATAAGTCGAAATATTGGTTTTCTCCAATAAAGTGTTTCTAAAGTCTATACTTGGTATTCGTTAACATCAATAATGAAATGAATTGTATATTTATGTCAGGTAGAATGATCACATAAATAATATTATATATTATAATTTTAAATAATGTCTCAATGATATAATACATGATTATAGATACTGATCCAGGCAACGTTAATTTCCACAAAAATGATATATATGTGTTTCATATCCCTAGTCGGATATTTAATATTACATACAGAGTTTGATTACTTATCAGTATGTAATTTGCATCGATCCTGTGCTGAAAAGCAATTTATTTCAAGTCCTATTTGCCGCTCCTCTATTCTGTTGCATGTAATATTATATGCAAATTTTAGCAACGATGAGAGTAGCTTTTGGACTGATTGGAGATTTCAAATAATGTTCAATGTAGAGAATTATTTGAACTGAAAAACTTTTGTGATCTACAGTACCTTTGATGTGCTATGCAGGTATAATTTAATAGGAGTATCATAATGATAATACCAAAACATTTTAATAAATAATGTTTTTATAAATCTCATAGTATACAATTATGAATTATAGTAATTATTATAGGCAATGCTGCATAAATGTATTATAAAATAAGAGAGTTTATTAAAAATCTTAGTGTTTGTTAAGTTCAAATTGATGATGTACATATACAGTTAAACTTGCCTTAGTCGACTGTGCCTATTGTCAAATAATTTTTAAGTTGTTGGGTTTTCCATTAAATAACAATCTGTAAGTCAAATTTTATCTAAGTTGAACAATATTTGAATGGCATTTTGGATTCAACTTAGGCATGTTCAGCTCCCGGGGGACTCGCTCTTAAATATTTCCATATGGGTAGGTGCTGCATTTACAGGGGTATTTTTGAAGACTTGGTAGCACAAGTGTGGGAATTTATGGAAGAGTTTCAGCATGTATAGAGTATATTTGCGAGGATTAGATTTTGGTAAATGGTAGAGTAGTTCAAGTCCCTAATAATTTTCAGTAAAATAGGTAGCGCAAGTGTCTCATGTCTTAGAGCGGCTTACAAAATTTTATCATAGAACAACTTAATTCTTGTACTAGTTATGTATTTTTTTTTAGGCAGTGGCTATTTTTACACGAGTCTTAAACCAATTAATAATTCTGATTGGATGTTATTGTCCAAATCCAAAATTAGTCACATGTATTATTTACATTATATCGATAGAAATTAATATAATTATTACTTTAGTTTAACAATGAAGGATCTAATCTAGAAAAATGTTGTATAAATTAAATATCCCCAAGGGATACTTGTCCTAATCCAAAATCAGCCACATGTATTGTTTATTATATCAATAGAAATTAATATAATTATTACTTTAGTTTATTCAATGAAGGATCTAACCTAGAAAAGTGCTGTATAAATGAAATACCTCCATGGGATTCTTGCAAGTCATTAATATTCGCGTCGATGAGATTTACGTACGCCTGCAGTCTATGGAGTTTCTCCAGTGAGATGCCAGGATATGTGATATTTTGCTTGATCACTACTGTACGTGCCATCCCCAGTCATTTGTGTCATGCATATAATGTAATATGCACATAAAAATTGATTTGTTATACCCAGATAGAAACAATTCTCTTTTCTTGCATTTTAATAGCTCAAATTTTATTATTTTGTAAGTGGTGTATATTGGGAGAAAATTTGTGTGAAGATGGAATGGACGTGCACATAGATAGACAATTACACTTTAAAGCTTATTTTTTTATGGTCTTCATTATCTACATATTCATCCAAGTTACTTGGCAACAAAACAACATGTCCCAACAATTCTGTATGAAACCAAGCGTTATTGTGCTTTGTTTGCTTGTCAGATGTGTGCTATTCAGTTTCATTTTAAATACATAAATTATTCAGTTTCACAGTACAGTAGACCACTGATCACCTTATTGATTACATGATTATTCTTTCAAGAATTGTCTCAAAGTATTTGGATCGAAAGGACATTTATAATAATTAATGTGGTTATAATATTGTACTTGTGAGGCATGTTAGAAAATTATTAATTATTGTTTTGTATTTTCTAACACACCTCACAAAAACAACAATAAATTTAAAACTATATTTTTGTTTTTGTTTACTAGAAAATTATTACTTTATTGTTTTATATTCTCTCGTGTACTGTATTGGGTAGGATTATTTTCTTTATCAATGAGTCATTCCAAGGGCTGGTAAATAATTACCATACTGACAGAGATCAGATGTGAGCTTGCCATGGACAACCTGATCCCAGTCAAGTATTATGAAACAAGTTGAAGTGGATGCAATTAATGAGATCCATCAGTTATACTGAATCATCTGCTATTTGAATATAAACAGTTTTCACTTTAACTTACAGACATACTAAAATAGTTCAGCGCAGTGGTGCTCCTGGCATTACCCCAACGGAAGGGAAAGAGTTGTTGTTTCGCTCCATACGAGGGCCATACTGTAGGCTGGAGCCGGGGGGTATGGTTTTGGAGGGGGTGACCTCCTCCCCAATGAGAAATAGTTTTAAAATAATAAGCCGCTAGACACTCATACAGGGCATCTTGACCTTAGAAAGGTGTTTGGTAATGCCAAGTCAAAACTTCCAGGTTTTGAAATATGATCATTTAATGGTGTTTTTTGTATCTCATTAAAAACTAAAGGCCGATCCGATTCCGGCCAACTTTTGATTTAAACGTTTTAGAAATATTGGTTTGGTCTAAATAATTGAAATATTTTTTAAAGTATAATATATATTTCATCCTTGTTTAAATAATCTATTAGATTTTAAAATGTTTACTACTGTCTAGACATGGCTAAATGAATCAAAAAGGAAAAAAAATTGTTTTATGTTACGATTACCTTTTAGTAATTACGTTGTCAAATCAATGTAATCTGGTCTGCTTGTTTTTTTTTTTTTGGAGTTATAGACTAAGTATTTTTTTTCTGGACATTTATAATAATTAATGTGGTTATAATATTGTACTTGTGAGGCATGTTAGAAAATTATTAATTATTGTTTTGTATTTTCTAACACACCTCACAAAAACAACAATAAATTTAAAACTATATTTTTGTTTTTGTTTACTAGAAAATTATTACTTTATTGTTTTATATTCTCTCGTGTACTGTATTGGGTAGGATTATTTTCTTTATCAATGAGTCATTCCAAGGGCTGGTAAATAATTACCATACTGACAGAGATCAGATGTGAGCTTGCCATGGACAACCTGATCCCAGTCAAGTATTATGAAACAAGTTGAAGTGGATGCAATTAATGAGATCCATCAGTTATACTGAATCATCTGCTATTTGAATATAAACAGTTTTCACTTTAACTTACAGACATACTAAAAAAACTAAAGGCCTATCCGATTCCGGCCAACTTTTGATTTAAACGTTTTAGAAATATTGGTTTGGTCTAAATAATTGAAATATTTTTTAAAGTATAATATATATTTCATCCTTGTTTAAATAATCTATTAGATTTTAAAATGTTTACTACTGTCTAGACATGGCTAAATGAATCAAAAAGGAAAAAAAATTGTTTTATGTTACGATTACCTTTTAGTAATTACGTTGTCAAATCAATGTAATCTGGTCTGCTTGTTTTTTTTTTTTTTGGAGTTATAGACTAAGTATTTTTTTTCTACATTGATAAACATAGTAATACATTAATTAATGTACTTTATTAATTTTATATTTTACAGGGTCCATGTGGAGTACTTTGTAAATGAACAGTCAATAAAGGAGCGGTTACATCTGTACTTTATAAAAAATCAACGATCAAGTGAGTACAATGGCTTTTTGTAATAAAAATGTGTATGGTGCAGTAGTTTCGACCTGAGTATATACTTACGCTTTGCTATTAGGTGTATATTTAGAAAGGAGTATTTTTGGTGTGAATCACACCTTGAGTATAACCCACTAAGTTTGAAGACTTGTTTCCAGTGGTGTCCTTCTGGTGGTGAATTCGGCAGCTTATGGCCCATGTGCATGTTAAAGAACGCAGTACACTCTTCAGAAAAGAGTAGGGGATCGTCTCCCGGTGTACTGCCCAATCACCACCAGAAGGACCCCACTGTCTTCTTCTAGACTTTCGTGGGCTGTCATTGGTGTTTACACCAAATAAATTCAATCAATCAATCAACCCCTATGCTTTTCTGAATTGTGTTCTGCGTTCTTCAATGTGCGCATGGGCCATAATACACACAGCTTAAACATCTCATCCGAAAGACGATGAACTCTTGTAACTTGCATTTCAGTCCGCCAGCTGAAATACAATGATCGAGCAGCAGATGGGATTGAACCAGGGACCAAAGTATCTTTGTGGTTCAGTGTACACATACTGGCTACCACCAGTTTAGCCGACTAAGCTAAGCTGCTCTCTTAAAAAATAGTAAAAGTATGAAAACTAAATTATATTATAATTATATTTAGTGTCATAAATAATCATGAATCATATTAGCATGTTGATTGTCAGGCATATGGTTCTACAATGAATAAAAAGTGATGTAATAAAGCTAGAATGCTTCCCTGTTTTAGACAAGATTAGTCGTTCCTAGCACCCTCAGCAACACCTGGTGGGTAGAGTATACTCGTCGCTGCCTGCGAACGTGTAAGTATTATCGAAATCTATACAGTAGCTAGTCCTACTGTAATAAACTTCCTTTAGTTTCTGTAATTGATGAAAATCAATTTTATTCTCTTTAATAACCGTTGAAGGCTAATATCTACAATAGTGTAGATCATGTCAACATTAACATTGAACTTACAGGCTTAATATACACTCAAAAATTAAAACGCACCTTCCCATTGAAAATCCTGCCTACGGGCCTGACCCAGGAGTATAAATTGTAGGGTTAAATGCCAAAATGCGCTGATGTAGCTGCTGCAATGTTATGGAATACTCCCCCAGGGAGCTTGAGTTTGTGTTCCATAGGCATTTAATCCAATGACCGGTGGTAATAATGTGAAGCTTTTGAGGCCTTGTTAGCGTTAAGCGCTATAAGTCTAACATATTATTATTATCATAAATACTAATTTGAGTAAGGACAAAATGTTTGTGCCGATTTACCATCCAGACTCATGCACAGTTCTGGAAGAAATATATGGTAGCACCATTCTTTTAAATTTAAATATTCCTGATGATGACATAATTAATTCAAATATTCCTGATGGGGACATAATTAATGTCGAAATATTGAATCCCGACACGATGGCGTGCATTTCAATACTTGGAGTATGTATTATACTATCTTACCTGAGATGGTGGACCTTTTTGTTCTTTTAAATGTATTACCATTATTGGCATATTTTGAGTTCCAACAATATTTATGTTGATTACAATATCGTAAAAAATAATTTTACAATAAAACAAATCTACAAATATTGGACGAGGATTTGTCACACTACAAAAGAACACATGTAAGAATTCATTATTCAAATTAGGTTGGTACAGTACAGGGAAAGGACCAGTAGAGTATTCAGTATGTACAGTGTAGAACATACCACTTCAGTGAGTGCCGCTGATAAAAATGCATACAGTATTATGTTCACTCAATATAATGGAATAATTTTAATATAAAGTGAACATGTTAATAACTAAAATAGGTCAATACGTGACATGTTACATCAATACGTGGAATGTTACATCCATTTACATTTTAGCTTATATTGTATAATCCTTTTTTACTATATTCTTTACCAGTAGGCCTACATGTATCTTGCTTGCTTTAACATTAAAACAAAATTATTATTGGTTCATGTTCTCTATTCAAAATATAATTTGACTTTCATTTGTAAAGATCTTTCTAAATTTATAGATACATGTGTAGCAGTATTCAATATTTATGTTTTATAATATTCTGTTATATATGGCAATATTTGTAGCATTTGGCTGACTTGGCTTTACAAAGTGATTATTTAAATGATACTGTACTCCATGGGCGGATCCATAGGGGATGATGGGCGGATACATAGGGGATGAGTGGCGGATCCATAGGGGATGATGGGCAGATCCATAGGAACTCTTACCCCCCACCCCACCACTCTTAACATGTCAGAAGACCATCTTCTGTCTTCTGACAAGACAAAAGACAGTTCCCCAAGTCATTTAAACTTCTGTTTATACAGCAGTTCCCTTTTTTCTGTACCCCCTCCTACAAATATCTGGGCCTGCCCCAGTACCTCACCGCGTTGGGAAAGGCTGGCGAAGGCGGCCTTTTTGCGAGTTATTGTAATAGTTATAGAGATAAATGACAAAAAAGAAGATAATAAATTTAGAAAATGAAAAGACATGCAAATTTGTAGACTATCTGACAAATGTATTTAAAAATATATATGAAAATGGTTTTAATTAAGAAATCTCCATGAAAATTTTGAACGCAAGATATCCTTTTGAAATAATAGATTGTATTCTTCATTGCAGTATGTTAACAAAATTTTAGTTATTGGACACAACAGTATTTGAGAATTTTTTTTAAATTTATAAAATACTTATATAATTTCAATTTAATTTATTACATCTGCAAATGTAAAATAGGATAATTATCAGTTGTTTACTACAGTGACCATGACAACACTAATAAATTCAACGTGAAAGAAATTAAAGCCAAAAATAAAATACTCCTCCGTAATGGAACCAATAATGTTCTTCACAACAAAACAATTGACATCAAATAGAACACCATTGTGTGAGGCATTTCTTATTAACTGTATATAACATTATCACACCATCCCTATGGATACTCCATTTTGCAGTAATATAATCGGCCTTCAATTTTTCTCCTAGTGTTACCTATAGTAGGCATATAATAAAAAAACAAATCATGATGTATGTAAAATACCACCCTTGAAGCCTTAGTAGCATCAATCCACTTTGGAAATTAAAAAGCCCAGGGCAGTAGTGACTGAGATCTACGAAGTACAAAAAAAATCAATACTTGTATAATTTTAAAGATACTGTGTATCCAACACATTTTTGCTATAGTTAAAGTGCTTACTTTGTATATTTTTGTCATTGGCTTTAAATTAAAAACAAAATAAATAAGAAAACAAATTTAGTTGATTTTATTTCATAAATAATGACTGTTCTTCTGCTCATTATATAGAGTGTTACGCAGATAGATAAGTCAAGGACTTTTTTCTGTAAATGTTTATTTATCAAAATTTCTTCTTTTTTTTATCTCCGTGTATGTGTCAAGTATAATATTTATAAAATATATAAAATATTATTTTTAACAGTTTTGAACAATAACATAATGTGCAGCCGGTATTGTTAAGTGTCCACACTTAAATACTAGTACAACGAAGTACATAACTACATTAACATTATATTTCATTAAGTGGGAAAATTGATGACTGATGGACCAACCTGCTGTTGGTCATTTATTTTTTCTATATTTTCTGTCAATTCTTACCGTCATTGCTTCATTTGATTTTTTATACATTCTTGCATTAATCCTAAAGTACATACCGCCATGATTGGCTTATGTGCATTAACAAGGCTCTGCTTAACAAAGTGGTGCCCGTAAATATGTTCTCCATAGAAACGATTGTGATCCCATGATGAATTTACCGTATCTGATGATGATACAGTAATAGTAATGTTCTTAGCTGTTGCTACAACAGCACAAGGGATTGGAACTAGATTTATTCTCACATTTAACACACAATACTGTAATTCAGTGTAACTCTTGTGATAGGTCATATTTTTAAGAAAAAATTACATTGTAAGATTGCAATATAATTTTATTTGTTTTGTGTTCTTATTATATTGAGTGCCCACAGGAAAGAAAAATTACATAGTACAGTATTATAATACTTTACCGTTCACTGCCTCTATATTTTGTTTATTTCAAGGAAAATAAAACTAATCTATTCATTATTATAATAATAATAATAATGAGGATGATATTTAACAATACAGTAATACCATACTGTAGTAATTGTACTATGAATATTTAATTAATTATTACTAGCTTTTATATTGCATATAGTAGTACTGTACGTAGTATGCCATATCTTTTGTTTTTCTTACACAGAAATGTACAGATCAATAAATCAAACAGAAACTACCCCCAAAACTTAGACCTACCAGTAGATGTCTAGCAGGAAATAGTTATCACTCAATGGCTGGCATAAAACCGATGGGCTCTCAAGTAGCTAAAGCCAGGGCTCCCTGGACATTCAGTGGCCCTTTATTGGCGCTTTTTTTTTTTTGCTACAACATAAGCCACAATGAACTTTTCTGCTAAGCCCTATCCCTTGGATATTTTTGCTAAGGTCGCACGAAAAAGATTGTAAACATACGAAAACTTGTGCATTTGTGGGACACGCGTGTGTTTGTAGGATAAGGGCGTGTTTTTAGAGATGCTCCGATAGGCCAGTAGTTAAGGTTGCTTGACACTCTGGAAGGGTCCGAGCAGTCTACCATTATCATCATCATTATAATTTTCCCAGCTTATGTCAACGAAGGAGTTACTTTGATTGTATTTTTCATTTTAAATGCATAAAATGATTATTTGGTCCTTAACCAGGGTCAGCGATAGCGGGGGCTTCAGGGGGCAAAGGACCCCGTTGGGGACCTCTGGACCCCCGCTTGGACCCCCTGTTGGTGAATTTTCAGCAAGGTCATCAGGGAAAAATCAAATTTCGAGCGCCAAATGTACAATTCATGCATGCCTTAACTAAGCTAATTTTAGGGATTAAAAACTTTGAGCAGTGCTACCGTATGTGCGAGGTGTTGTACACTATTGCCATCGTATGGGTTACAGTGGTGCATTAGCTCGTCCCCGACATGGGGCTGCTACCTCCCTAAAAGGGGACTACGACCCTCAACATCCTTTTTAAATAAAGAATTCCATAATGAACACAACAATTTATTATTTTCTTTTAATAAAAAAAAAAATCCTTGACAAATTAATTTTTTCCCTGGTGGTGGGGGCTAGGCTTCCCTGATGGGGGTGGGGGCGTGGACCCCTTGTCAGGGAGTTTGGACCCCTCGTCGGGGAATTCCTGGCGCCGCACCTGTCCTTACCTCTTTTCTTTATTTGTTTTTTCTGTTAAAAGTAAACCTTCAGACCTTGGTCAATTTATTTCATATTCCATTCTTCAGAACCAATATTCTTTAAAACGGATTTATTTGCAGATTACCTAGAATTTCTAACTCATTGATAATTTATACTCTACCATTGACATGTTCTTAAATAGTTAGAGTATTTTGAATTATTAAAATTTATAAATGTTTTGAGTAAGCGGTTTTCCGTCTTGTGTATTAACATCATGGTAGCCATTTACATATCTGTGTGAATATAGGCAGTAATTTTACACTACCTGTTTTTGTTCCAGTGCTACACATACCATAATACCGGTACTTGCTAAACCAGCTTTTATTACATGTTCTAAATTATTCAGAAAGATTAGATTGCATTTTGCTTTTATTAGTAATGGTTATAATTTACCAGCATGTTTTCAATATTTGTTTTAAATCATGCTATATTTGATATTTATATGTAGTATACAAACAATTTTTATTTTAATATCAAGTGAAATATGTAATTATTGTATATTATTATATTATAATGTTTATTGTCTTTTATAATTTATTGGATATTCCTACTATACAGCAATTAAAGAGTCTCCCTCACCCCAACCTCCAGCAGTGACGGTGTCAGGTGGGAAATTGCACCCCCATTGGACAGACCTGGATCTCCCCCCCCCCACACCACAACAAGGTCGTCAGATAAAAAAAAATAATTATAATTTGCCTATCCAAAATAATTTTATTTTGATTGCCACTTCCTAATATTGTGGTCTAAAAGTAAAATTTGGGCTTTACTCTGCCATAAAAACTCTCCACATGTATTCTAGGGATTTGTATTCCAGGAACCTGACCAAGGCTCTATTTGGCCTTTTGTCTCAGACCTTCCTGTCGGACATGTTGATCTCTCTGTCAACAAATTTCTGGAGCCACCACTGCCCACACTCTTGAAAGAAATTTTATTGTCACAGTTTTACATCATGAGAGAAACTGATAATGTAAAATCTTGAATCGAAGCCCTGCGCTTCTTTTTTTGCGAACTTTAGGTGGGCATCTTTTCAAGGCTACTTTTGCAAAGTAAAGTGGTGGGGACTTTTTTTCAAATGAGTGCTGTAAATTTTGTGAATTTGTACTATAAAACAATAAATACGACCATTGTAACATCAGTCTGTATCATTGAGTGTACTGAACTGACATTAAATCACCTAAACTTCTGTATAACCAAGTGTGTTTTTAATTAATTAATTTTTTTTGTAATTCATGATATTCTGTACTATCTCGAAAAAAAGCCTATGCTATCTTGAAAAATTCTTTTCATTGATATCTTTTCTAACAAAAAATATTTAGAATTAAAACTTTTTTTTCCATTTCTCTTTATAGCTCTTCGAATTCGACTTATAAATTGTTTTTTTAAACTACTGACCGTAGTGTTGTATCTAGTCCGTGCAATTGCAGATGATGAACCCAAAGCTGCAGGCAAACATTGGTAAATATACATGTATTATTTCATTCTTAATATATAATGTTATGAATATAGATCTGATATTTAATATTTAGATCTAATAATATAGTTCCTGAGGCAGTAACATCTCCCACTTATGTACCCCTCCATTCAAACAGAGTTTGTAAACGAGAAAGTTCGTAATTCAGAGTGTTCAAGTTTTTGTAGCATCTCAGTGGTGAGGGTAGGCCTAGGCCTATGCTACCTAAAGCCTTGCCATGGGAGCAAATTTTTGTCACAAAATATAACTTTACTGTTTTCTGCAACAAAATAATACTTCACAGAAGCCAACATTTTCTGTACTCACTTTGAAGTATTCATTTAAAGTGATTTCTGAATGAAAACATGAGCATTTAAACAGCAAAAATAAGAATTATTATTTTCTCCATAAAGATTGTGAATCCATTTGAACAGCGCTCTCAAAGACCAAAAATGTTGTTTGGTACAATGGGCCTTTTTGCAAGTGTATAATAAACATAACCTAGAATCTTTTATGGTTTAACTTATTATTATTATTATTATTATTATGGTAGTATTATCTATGTATATTTTTATTAAAATTTAATCAAATGTTATGTATTAAAATTGTAAAAATTATTATTTTCCAGTTTTAACATCGTAGCAGACAGTTGGTAAGTAAACAGGACTATTTTCATATTGAAAGTCTGTAAATAATCAAGAACTTAATTGTTTCAATCTCAAAGTTACTTATTTAATGAGGTTAAATAAGAAATTCAAAATTTTAATTAAATTTTTTAAGGTTGTACTACTGAAATCCTATGTTTTGTGTATTTACAATTGGAACAGAAGTGGCGTATCAAGGAATTTGTAATAGAGGGGGCCCAGGAGGCAATTTTACAGATGGAGGGTCCAGACCACTTCAGTCCCACCATGGTTATGGCTGGTACAAAATTGTATGTGTATGGCGCTTTTAGATGGCCGGAAATATTTCTCTTAGAATTTTTTGTTTTAATTTGATTTAGTTTTCTTTTTCCTCGTTTTTGTCCTAAATTATCAAAAATAGGGGGCTTTATCCATCTTTCAACATTGTCAGCACATTTACTTAATATTACTGATTATCACCAATGAAGATGGTCAATTGTCAAATGTACTTAGGAATTTTCTCATTATTTAATTTTCATTTTTTCTCCATATAGTAAATCAACTGCAGAAAAATGTATTTATTGGTAAGTTTCAAATTTATTTTGTTTCTTAGGAGTGATGTTTTGCCTTACCTGACAAGTTATCGTAGTGAATGCTCAGTACGTTCCCAAATTTGAAAGTGCTTCGGGGGAGATCAAACCCACAACCTCCAGTAACTAGCCTGGTGCCATAACCACTAGACTACTGAGCTTGCGCTTAGTGACTAGTGTTGAATCCAATTCCCAAGTAGCAGCGGGTACTGCAAATGCTATTTTGATGTGAGTTTGTGTCAGGAAAAATATTATAGGAGTGATGTTTTGCCCTACCTGATCTGAAAATTGTACCGTATTTTCTTGTTTATTATCATCACATCACACGTACTTGTCACATAAAATGTGGTAGTGTAGTATGGACCAAGCTTGAAATTTTTTCTATGATCTCTCAATATATTCATTCAATACACATAACTTATCAGTCACAATATAATTCCCAACTTAAAGACAAATATGAAAAGTTTTTTAAGTGTTTCAAGTGTAAAGTTAATAATAAACCTCATTCAATCTGTCAATTGAGAGATTTGAAAGGAACATATTAATTGATCAGTAAAGTAGTACTGTATTTACATAAGAAGTATTTGTTCAAGCAGAGAGATTCTATGGCTCAGGCTATCCACAATAATTCTACCAACCTCTTACTGATTATATTACCTTCGAGTAGAATGCGGTTACCATAGTGATTAGATAATAAACTATCCACCGTTATTTCCTATCTGTCAAAATTAGTAATCCAATTCTTTTGATTTTACATCTTGGCAAAGGCTCCTTATCTTTATTTATAGTTATTATTATCATGGCAAAACCATAGCAATACCATATTAAATTACCTTACCTGTTACCTACTACTATATGCCGATCAGTCAGTCCGAATTTTAATCAATCAAGTGATCAATTAATTTGTCAGTCATATCAACCTGCCAATCATTAGTCAATCAACTATCAGGTGCATAATAAAATTGGTTTTATGGGCCTATTTAAAAAATAATGGCCTGCAGGGAAACAACGGTTGACACGACATGCTGCGTAGTCATAGTGATATCTGTGTGCTGTTTTTTTTACCTTACCACGTCTATGTATGATGTCATAGAAAGGATTGTTTGAATAAATTAACACGCTGCCAGTGGTTTATCTAGGAGTTGTGATGCTGGTGGGGGGGGGGGCGCTAAGGTGAAAGTGGAGACTCAATCAGTTGAGGATTGCTATCTCGCAAAATAAGGTGATTTAGGTGATTTTTAGCTACTTCAACATAATTTTTTGGAAGGGGGCAACTGGGGGAGATGAGTAATATTTGGAAGGGTATGCGCCCCCGACGCACCTTACAAAAGACTCACACTATATCTGTTGAACACCTTAATCAAACTTTCAAACTAGATGCTTTAATGGCAAGAAGACACAACAGAAACATATTGGAAATGTTTATTTTCCTAACATGCCGTAGTGCTTTAAAATAATGAGATTAAAGTGTAAGGTTAGGTCGAGCCAGCTCCACCAATCAACTCTCAGATTGAAGTAAAATCGTCGAAACCGTATCCATGGCAAACATAATTCACAAGATGACTATTTTCATGATTGTATTTATTTAACTGCTAACTTGAAAAAAAAAAGGACAAACACGTTTTAGGAGTTGTGAGTTTAACAAGTATTTTTAGCTGGTATTTTACAGTAGTAAGACATGTTCATATTATCAGCCACTTCATTCACTTAACGGCATAAATGATAATATTTCTTTATCCGTCATAAAATAAATATTAGGTAGTTTTAGCCACACAACTTTAACCTTAGCGTTAACGGATGATGTCATAATTTATTCATCTTGCGTTGCGGAGTATGTTAATTTCAGGATTTTACGCGCTCAACGTACGTTAGTTACGGGTTTGCGCATGTAGAGCTATCGCGCTACATGCTGGGTGCTAACGTTAAACGTCGTGCGGCGAAAACTACCTATTTTATGAAAATTGCATTCCTTGGCAAGACATACATTTTAAAAATTTAAAACAAAGAAACTATACACTTTACATTATTATAAAATTTCAAGACAAAAAAACAAGATATTAAAATATATGTTGTGTGTTATATGTTGTGATAGTAATGCACATTTAATAATTGTATATATAATAGTTAAGTTGTATCGTAATTATTTTATGTGAGCAAAGATTAAGACTGTTTTTGTGAAAAACCGAAATATGCAAAAGGCTGTGTATGCAATTTTCAGCTGTTTTTGTATCCTACTGATCAAATTTACAGCCTACAGAGTAAAAATGCTGTGTATGTCACATAAATAGTAATATAATACTATGTATGGCAGAAATATAATCTCTGTGGAGAAAAAGAATTTTTTCTTTGGTTTCGCATTGCCAGTTTTGCTAAAAAAAATATCTGAGAGTGTACAGTTTGCGAGTTAAAACAAGACTACTATAATATGAACTGCAGCATTCAAATCTACTTTATTAGAAAATCATTTTGCAAAAATCTTTATGGCGAGTTGAATGGCAGAGCGGTTAAGGCTTGGGCGCTGCAATGTACAACCATAATATCGGCGCTGGTTCAAACAGCACACTCATCTGTGGTTCTGGTGCAGGTTCAAACAGCACACTCACCTGTGGTTCTGGTGGTGGTTCTAACAGCACACTCACCTGTGGTTCTAGCGCTGGTTCAAACAGCACACTCACCTGTGGTTCTAGCGCTGGTTCAAACAGCACACTCACCTGTGGTTCTGGTGGTGGTGGAACAAGTCTTCTCGGATAAGGACCCTGGGCACAGTGTACATAATTTGGCTCATGTGCACTTTAAAAAACCCAGTACATCTTTCGAGACGAGAAAAGCCGGGCACTCACTGTGTCGTCATGACGAATCCAATTCCGCTCCCTTTAAGTGCTAGACCATGCGACTCCATCTGATGATTGTAGGTGGTCATCTGAACGAATCTTCAAAAACAATCCGTTGCGTGCGCGTCGTTGCTTTTTCCGTTTCTCATAGAGTCCCGCCGTCCGACGATTGTCGGTCGCAGTGAGTGCCCGGCTTAAGGGTTACGCCGCTGCGCTGGTGCATTCGGTCCCTGCTGTGGACAGAGGAGAGTAGGTGGTACCGGTTTACTGTATAGCTCAGACACGAAGAGACCCTTATTAAGGGAGAAGCAAGTTACTGTAAAAGCTAGTTCACACATTGAGCGCTTTTGAGACCATTTCAGTATATATTGCTATATAAATCTAACTACATTACATTATATTTTACATACACTAGAGAGTAGATGCATTCAGCAATTATGCAACATTAGAATTCAGTATTTTGTAATGAGTCAATTTGATGTTAAAGGGATAATAATGTCAGTTCTAGTCACTCGTCAGCTTTAATATTCACATAGCTTTCATAGCACTCAGTATTTAAAATGATCTCTATTTACATGGTTATAGGCTGGCAATATATTGATAGTCCTTAAATTATCCTCTGTTCATGTCTTTACAAAAATTAGAAAACAAATAAACCACAAAACAGTAGTACTACTGCACAAAGAAGATCCAGTGCTCAGTCATACTCTATGTTTTGCATCATTTCACCAACTTTAACATTTTAAATCAAACTAGAGTATACATTTAATTTATTCTAATCAATAAATCTTATCTCTCTTACATCTCTAATTATTATTTTATGGTCACACTGTACTGTACAAGCGAATGTTCGTAATTCGATAAATTTAAAATAAATAAAAATAAATAAATTAAAAGTGAATACAATCAAAGTGAATACTATATTTATTCTAATAAATTCCCTGGGCGCATTTATTGTTAAGAAGTGTTTTTAGGCGTTTATCTGAGGGAGGTGTTTATTTTTTTGGATGTAAAATGGATGGGTATATACACAAATAGACACCCCTTATTTTCACTGTAAATGTGGGACACATAATTAGTCAAAATGTGTTATTGCGTGATCATAAAGACTTATTAATCCCAACCAGGTTTTAAAATGTAATTCTACTGGAGTAGAACGTTAATAGAATGATGTTGCCTCCATTAGATTTGTTTAAACTCATTTGGGGGAGGCGTTTATACAAGGAAGGAATGCCTTGAAGCGTTTATTTCGAGGGAAGCATTTATTCCAAATGAGGCTCTAGAGGGGGATTTTATTCAAAGGGGAGAGGGGGGCAGAATAAATAAAATACTAGTAGTAGTACTAGTAACTACAATGTGATCAGTCCAGAGGTTATAAGATATTATCGCATAATTATAAAGTGAAATGCACAACAAGGGATTGAAACTTCACCCTCGAGGCTGGGAAACTAAATTTCTAATGTCTATTTTGACAACCTGTAATATATTTTGTTTGTTTTATTTTTTTTTCAGGCCAGCTATTTTATGTGTGGATCGGGAGGATTGGATGTATGGGTTGCAGTGTGCCTTAGCAATTATCAATCTCCTTCAAGTTCTGCTTTTACTGTTTTTAAATTACAAGGTACTCTATGCATTTTTCTTTAATATGAATTAAGACGGTTGAGGTTTTTTTTTTAATTATTGTATTATAACTACCATTGTTGTTGATTCCATAGGGAAATATCTTACAACAAATAATGAGTGTGAGCATGGTACTAGAAGCAATTACTTCAATACCTTTCGTCATCACGGTAAGTTTTTAGAAGTTTTTTTCAACACTGAGCCAATAATTTGTTGCCCTAGCCAGGTAATAATATAATAATAAAGTATAGCACAACTATATTATAGTATAAACGTATGGATAATATGCAAGATGTCTTATGGTGCAAATATATGTATATTTTTCATAATATACGACAAATACATATGCAGCAAACCAGAATTTAATATTGAGAAACATGTTTCTACTATGTTGAACTTTTATCATCAATTAAAAAATTAACTGAACAAAGGATCTACCACAAATTATATTTGAGGTAATCAAAATTAGAGGTGTGATTGAATGTGTCTGATATTGACAGAGAAGTCTTAAGTCGGGTAATAATAGTAATAATAATAAATAAAAATTTTAAAGTGCACGTATTTATTTAGAAAGTGCTCAAGGCGGTAGATACCATGAAACATGACATGACATAACATGAAAACACTGGAACTAGAAAGTGTGGAAAATTAACCCATGAAATGTCCTAAACTAAAACGAGTAGAAAATGCAGGAGAAACCAGCACTTTTAAGCCCTCAGTGAGAGCTTACTAGTTCACAACTCATAAAAAAAATGGTGCTGGTGTCTAACTGGGTCCACAATTTTCCATGGGAAAACACAACTTAACGAGTCACTTTCCATGACAATCCCCTACACACATACTGACAGTATTTACCAAGCTACGCAGTGTTTGCCCACAGTTCATGATATACTAACTTAGTCAACGAATATGAGAGAATATAGTAGAGTGTATGATATATAAATATGTATGATATATGTTACACTAAAACAATGTATGGATATTTGTTTATAGTGAATAAAAAACTTGTTATGAGGTTTTTTCATGAGCAATGGTGGCACCAGATGCCCACCCTGCCCCCCTACTGGTGCCACCGCTGCCCATAGGTCGATATGTGTTAGGCATTAACATGCTCAGAGTGTTGTGATGGTATATTATGTTGCCCTGAGGCTTTTCTTGTTATAGTATTCAGGCGCGGATCCAAGATTTTCCCTGACTTTCCCACAAATAGGGTGGTCCTTGCAGTGGAGGGTCCAGAAATTCAAAAGAAAGGGGGCGGGGCCATAGAGGGATTATGTCGCCTCTAGATGGCCAGAAATGGCACTCTCAGAATTGGAATGTAATTTTCATTTTTTTCTCCATTCTTTAAAAAACCATTTGGTAATGGTTGAGGACTTGTATAGCACACAATATATGGTTTCTATGCGCTGATGTTTCAGTTGTTACTTGAATATTAGAGTTATTGTTTTGAATGTAAAGACGGTTGTTCAGTGTACTAGTGTTGAATGTGTGGATTCATTTAGAAATGTTACATTTTTTATTATTATGAGCCAACCTACTGTATGGTACATTTTCCAGATTGTGTACCCCCCAAGTCATGATCTGTTTGTCCCTGTGTTCCTAAACTGCTGGTTAGCAAAGGAACTCTTGGAAAACTTGTTTGTAAGTTGACTTGATTAATTATTTTCAATTATTTTTAATTATTCTATATTTTATTCATATTTGTTGCATAGATAGCAGCTCATAATATGATATTTATAATTTTTTGTTACATAATCCTTATATTTCAATTCCCAAACTTACAAATTATGAATGAAATACTTTGTCATTAGGTTTAAAAAAACAAACTCCAAATTATTTGTTTAGTTACACTTTTTTGTGTATTTTATTTTTGCATACTTTAGTTGAAAACAGTTCATAATGTATCAGAGTGTTTATATAGTTTATATAGTTGATTTATTTTGGTCTTAAGTTATATTAATAAAAATCATCACCTTGCCCTTAATTACCCTCTAGGTAATACAAGATTATCAATGTTAATAAATAAATTATTATATAACTTACATAAAATATTGCAACCTTATTGTTCAGTATTCAGTATGATTTTTGTCATTTGTAAAATTCATTTTACATAGAAATACAATTGCAAAAAAACAGAAATAACGAGGTAACAGAATAATATAAATATCGGGTAATAAACTATACCCCACTGGCCATCATCCCGGTATTAACTGGAACTGCGATCAGTTTAAACTGTTTACTAAGCCACTAATTGGCAACAAAGCTAATTTTTGTTTATAATCAGTTGATCAATTGCTTTCCAACAGAATGATCTACATCGTGTCATGCAGCGTCACCACTCAGCATTAACACAGCAAGTTTTCATCCTAATTGTAACAATTCTTTGTCTGATTATTACATGGTAAGTAGTGTATTAACATTTTTTTTTTACTTTTACACATTACTTCCACTATTCCAGCTTTGACATTGCTTCTTCAACCATTTAATTTTTCCTTAAATTGACTTTGGAATATAGTTCTTAAATATGACCATATTATTTACACTTTGGTTTAAAAATACTTTTGGAATTATATTATAATTATAATTATATATGTTCCCTTAAAAATTTTATTAAAAAAGCATCAAATTTCTCAAATATTCAAAGCACAAATAAGTTATCAAGTTGTAATAAGACACAGATTAAAAAATTATAATAAATGCCATCTAGTACTGTAGTTGATGTGTGCATGGGTATGTCAATGATCAAGGTGTAAACAAACAAGCTATCCTTAACATGTGTTTTGTTTGCTCCATTATGTGATAAAATAAAAGATGGCTAATTAAATTATTGCTGATTTAGAAAAGGAATATTTGTACAAGCAATATCATATTCAGTGGCGGCGCCAGCGGGGGCAGGGGGCTTACGGCCCCCCCCCCCACTGGTTTGGCAAAGCCACCCCATCGGCCAAAGCTTGTCGGGCAGTCGGACCAAAAGAAAACAAAAAATAGGCCTAGTTTTCCCATCCCAGCCATTTCCGGCCATCTAGAAGTCCCAATTTTTGTTTAAATCTTGTTTTGGGAGGAGGGGACATCCCCGTCCCATACCCACCCATCCTAGAGCCTCCACTGATCATATTTGTTTTTGTATTACTTCAGGATGAATCTTGTATGTTGCTTCTGTGATACTGAACAAAATTATGCTATTTATATGTAAACCATTTTACCCTTTCAAAGTTTTCTAGATTAACGCCTGTTTCTATGTTTCAAGGATAATGATGGTTGTTGCGTCATTATTCCAGTATAATTAGAATTTGTTTTTCATTACTTATCTTGCTCTATCTCTTATATTGCATGACATATTTTTTATGTCAAGTCATATGGATTAATCAATTTGTATGGCTTGTGCGTAATTCTTAAGGCTGTGTTTAATCAAATGACAGCTCCTACATTATGAAACATCCTAGATCCTAGTGAACCCTGTATTATAAAAGCATTGGTTTGTTTTTGTAAATTTTATTTATTTATTTTTTTTTTCTTTTTGCTTGTCAGCTCAATTTCGTCTTATTGTTTTCTTTTCTGCAGACTTTATGAATTGGTAGACTTCTAATTATGTTTTTCTGGGTCTAAACATTCTGTTGCTGTTTATATTTTGTACAATTTTGATTGTTTTTGCTGTTGACATATTACAGCCCTAGTTTGTTTATAATTATGTTTATGTTTTGTTGTTTATTTAACATTAAGCATTTTGAAGCTCCAACATTTTGTGCTATAATAATAATGATGATGATGACGATGACAATAATAATTAGCTTTATTTTAACATGGGAAAACTTCTTCAAGCATGTGAAGGAGAACCAAAAATTAACAAATTAAAATGTACAAATTTGAAAGCAAGTAAAAGTCAGTAGGGCCTACCATAAAGCTACCATTAACTTAACAACTGTACAAAGAAAACATAAAAATGTGGCAAAGACAAGCCAAACCAGTTACTCGTCGCAAAAATTCGATTTTGAGTTATTAATACAGTGTTAGAGAGTACAATAATAGCTATAAAATAGTAAAAAAAAAAAATTCAAATCGTGCATTTCCTTATGAAGTTACAAGCGTTTAATCACACAGCTGTTTAAAGAACAATATATGAGAAATCAGCCTACAAAGTTTATGATTTCAGGCATTTCTCATTAAATCCTTAAAAAGCGTTGTTTTAACATTCAAAATGGGGAAAATAACAGCATAGAATGATGTGTAGATATATAAAGTTTAGTTTAGTGCAATAAATTAGATTTTTTAAAATTTGACATTCCAGCATGTTTTGGCCATTTTCTCTGAAACACGATTTGCGACGAGTGACTGGTTTGGCTTGTCTTTGCCACAAATACATTTATACAACAATTATTCTTAATGTATGAGGATGTTGACATCTTGTAACCAGGACCCTCAAGAAACCCAGATCCCCAGTATCTCTACCTCAGATACCTCGCAACCTTGAAATTTTGACACTTGAAATGCCTTGATGTAACACCTGCAGCAGAACTGAAAAACCCAACATTATTAATAAGATTATTACAAATATTTGAGAGAAGAGAGTTCTGATCTCGAACGGAGTAACTGGAAATTTCATGTAAAATGCAATTAGGTAGTTGAATGAACCTCCACATTGTGTAGTTCAAAGTTTCCCTTTATAATATACGATATGATAGGTAGATTATGTTTATCTTGATTGGTTCTGTATGAAGATGCTTTGTTGCTTCTGTTGCATTGCACTCAGCCTGACCTTCGACTTATACATGGTGTGAATAAAATGATGAGGTGGCTTTTAGATTGAAAAACTGATAAACACTTTAGTGCACTATGAATGTTATAGGAATTATATTAATAAATGATAATAATCTTATATTATTTCTTTCTTTCTAATCAAATTTTGAGCTTATAAAAAAAAATACACTATTTGGTGACCCTTATTGACAAACCTAACATTCAAAAAATTTCATATCAATTAAAAATCTAAAATGTATCTTTCCTATTTGCCAACAGGGTGAGGGTGATTATAATATACATGATTGATTGATTGATTGATTGATCAGTCATTGATTGTCATTGATTATTTGATTAAATTGTTATAATTTATGATAATCATTTGATTATTTACTTATTGATTGACTGATCAATTGATTTTAAATGTTTGATTTATTTATTTATTGAAAAAAATATATCCGCATAAAATTATTATGTTTATTGATTGATGATGATATTGATAGACAATTTAGTTATATATTTGATTTTATCAATTGATTTTAACTAATTAATTATGATGATTAGGAATGATTGATTGATTGATTGATTGATTGATAGTGATTATTATGATTTAGAAAATCAATTTGCCTTATTGTTTTTCTCTATAATTTGATACCTTGTTTATTTTACATAAATTACATATTATTTCCAACAATATATTACTCTATATTGTGTGCCTTTGAGTTATTATTTGATTAAGGCTTTTGTCATTAATTGTATTAATACCCAGTGATTTTAACTTTTGCAATATATTTTAACAAAATACAATATATTCTGTGTTTAAGATTAAGGCCTTTTTAATTTTATTAATATGCAACTTGTTGATATTGTATAACTTATTTTTTGTAATATATCGCAAAACTGGACCATGTGTAAAACAGGTTGTTACATCCTCCTGATATGTTATCCTGTATAAATATGTTCAGCAAATAAATAAATAAATAATAATATTGTTTTATTATTTTTATCAGTGCATGTGGCATCCATCATCTGGAAAGGGCAGGCCAATCTGATATGAGTGTGTTTGAGGCACTTTATTTCACTGTTGTAACCTTTTCTACCGTGGGATATGGCGATATCAAAGTAGAAATATGGCCATCACAATTGTTTGTTATTTTAATGATTGCAGCTGCTCTTGTCGTTTTACCTGTACAGGTAAGAAGAAATTCTCCCACTAAATAACTCTGGTATGTCTCTCAGTGGCCAGAGAAACAGTAAAATCATAAATTATAACAAATATACAATGAAAATTAAAGGCTTGTCTGTGATGAACCCTGAAAAAAATTAAGTTTCTCATTAAAAATTTTCGACTTCCAATTAGACATTATTTCAGTGATGGTTTGTGCAAGTGAGTACGGGAATATATATACTGGTTCTCCCTCCGATTAAAGACCACTTTTGGGACCAGTTTTTCATGGTCTTTAGCAGATTTAGTGTCTAATTAGAATAATAAAAGCTATGTTCAGACACAACGAGTTACGGTAGCGTAACATTGAGTGGTGTGAACTTGTGCACAACGTACCGAATGCTAGTATGCTTGGTGTGTCTCACAGGTCTGAACATAGCCAAAGAAAGAAGACATTCGTTAATGTGGAACCATAGAAAAGAGGTCTTTAATTGAAGTGGTCTGCATTAGAGGGAGACGTATCTGTTAGTTATTGAGGAATGTAGTGCTTCTAATCCCAGTTTCCAATATTAAAGAAAGTTAATAACCTAACGTACTTAAGATAGTATAATACATACTCCAAGTATCAAAATGCACGCCATCATGTCGACATTCAACATTAATTATGTCATCATCAGGAATTAATTATGTCATCATTATTCCTGATGATGACATAATTAATGTCAAAATATCGAATCCCGACACGATGGCGTGCATTTCGATGTATGTATTATACTATCTTATCTGAGATTAATCAGTGGACCTTTTGGTTACCGTACTTAATATACAAAATAAGCAATTCACATAGGCTAAGATTATTTACATTCAGCACAGATGGTATTTTAATGATAAAATGGTTATTCAATGGAAATTGCTGAATACCTTTCGCATTCCTTTGATGACGTTTCAAAATGGAAAAATTAATTGTTATTTTTAATACATTTATAGACTTTATTAATTCAATATTTGAAATACATAAAAAAGTTGGCAATATATATATTAAATTTGACAAAGATAGAATACTGATATATTTAATTAATAACAAGGTCTTTAATTTAATATACCAAATACATACTTGGCAATATATATATAATTTGACAAGATTAGAATGCTGAAATATTGAATTAATAAAGTCTATAATTCTTTATTTCAAGTACATAGATCACTTGGCAATGTACATAATTTGACAAATATTAGAATACTGAACTTTCTTTTTATGGTGGAATTTAAAAGATCTGAGTGAATTGGATTTGTTTATATTTAAAGACAGTAATTTTTTAGTTCCCAATAACAAGTAACGTTTGAAGTGAAATTTAAATTTAATAAATGAGCATGTATGTGTTGCCGTCAGAATATTTTTACTCTTAATGACCCTAATTTTACAGTGACCGACTTTCTATCTTTAAATATTTTATGCTCTCTGAGGTGAATCATCCTCAGAAATAATGTAATTTCTTAGTCATTTCATAATTTGAAACATGTGGCGCAGCAATAGTGCTTTAGGCTTGCACTTGTAATATCAGGGGCTTGGGTCTGAATCCGAGTCACTCTTTTGTGAAAGTAGTCTACATTGCTTCTCCCCTTTCATTATTAATAAGTACCTGGGAAAATAGGTACCTGGTGAAATAGGAAAGTCTTCTATGTGCAAATCATTGCAGAATATTCTGCAATATGCTCATGTTTATTGGAGAAAATTGGACAATGTGCGGCGCTTAATTAATAATCCAGTGTTCAGGGAACTAAATACATTTTAACATAGTAAAGAAAATAATAAGTTTATTTAATTTTCTTCAAAGATGGAAAAGATGGCATTGTTACTGATCGAGAAGCAAAAACAAGGTGGCACATACAGCAACCACCGTGCACGTACAGAGAAGCATGTTGTCGTCTGCGCTTCAATGCTTCACTATGACCTTGTGAATGATTTTTTGAATGAATTTTATGCACATGCTCACTTACAGGTAATTTTATACTAAATTGTTTTATTTTTATTGTGATTGTTTTTTGTGGAGCTTATACAATTAAGATGTATAATTTAATTAATGTGACAAGATTTATTGTGAAGTACTAGGTTTATGTATACATTTACACTGGGGAAAGGTTCCAGAAGGCAGAATCGGAGGAGAAAAAAAAAACTGAAAAGAAAAATAATGATTTTGGATTGGTCTTGTAACCAAGGTGTTTCTATTTTTGAAGCAAACCAAACCACCTTTTACAACAAATGATAATGAAATTCATTACTAACATGCTTGAATGCTTCACTGAATCTCTTCCCCTGGTCTACATTAAAAAGCCTTTCCCCTCCCTCGCCCCCAGATTCTCATTGTTAACCTTTAAAGGATCCTAGGTAATGACCAGTAACAACCTAAAAAGGAAAAGAACACTTTGTCTGTAAAACAACATATTTTACTCAAAAATGTTAATATACAGCTTGAACAGACAGGAAATTACAGTCTTTAAGGTGAATGTGAAAAAAAGAAATCCAACTTCTAGTTGGAATGCTGCCAAGATCGCCTCAAGAATGTTGCACTTATCTGTACATATTAAAGTCATTGCATTTTAAATTAAAAAGTCGACTATAGATGATCGATTATGTTTTCTTGAAGGATTTCTTTGTGGTGTTATTGACTCCATGCGAGTTGGAACCTACTGTAAAGTGGCTCTTACAAGTTCCTCTGTGGTCGCAGAGGGTAATCTATATCCAGGGGTCAGCTTTGAAGGACATTGACCTCGTCAGATGCAGGTGAATTTCAAATTAATACAAAAAAAAGAACTGGTTTTTATATTAAATTCATGATTATTATTTTTTTTTTTGCAATCTTGATTACTATTTTCAAACATTTATGATTATAATCATCATTTAACCAATATTGTCAATTTTATTATCTGACCCCTATCATCATCAACATTTTTTATACCTCCATGCTAATAGTATTATCTTCAACATTATCATCTTCATTATCATCATTATTATTATTGGCATGATTTTTTAAGTCATTGCTATTATCTTCACCACCTGCATTATCATCATATCATCATTGTCATTGTCATCATCATTATCATAATTTATCATAATTGTCATCATTGTCATTGTCATCATTCATAATTTATCATAATTTTCATAATTATCTTCGTCATTGTAATCCTCGTCTTCATTATTTTATTATTATTTTCATCATCATCATCTTCATCACCATTGTTATCACAACCATAAATAACATTGTCATTATCATAATCATCATTATTATTACAGTATCATCATAGTTTAAAGATGGGGCATTTGGAATATCTAGAATGAACTGATAAATGATATTCTTTAATAGATGATATCATTAAGGACTACTTTGCATAGGTTTAATCCTTCATGTTTTAAACATAGCCTATTTTTCCTGTGATATGATATTTTTTCCTGCAATATATTTTTTTCCGGTATAATTCAGAATGGACCAGGCCGAAGCATGTTTCATACTCTCGCCAAGGAACAAGATGGATCGTATTGAAGCGGTAAGCCACTATGGTTCGACTTGCCGTGTGTCTCAGTAATCTGTACCCTTGTTTGTTAAATATATACATTTATATATACATTACTAATCTAGTATCAAGATATTCCTTGTGTACATCTTGCTTTAAAGTCCACACTTTATGTTTCTCAATCCTATACTCACATTTTAATGGTTGTACAATCATTTGTATTTTTGTGATATCAAAATTATTTCATTTAGATATTAATTGGTCGTCTTTTATTGTTCCATTGTCCTTGAGGCCTTTGCTTGTCTAATGATTTCATTAAAATCTCTAACCCAAGGCTCCAGGGAAGTATTCTGTCCCATTGTGCTTTTATATTAGCCTTCTGCTTCAAGAATGTTAGCCTTGAAGTGTTAATGGTAATTGGTACCAATTTCTGTTTTCTCAAAAGCCAATCAGCTATATCTTTCTGATCTGAAATTTATTTTTATTGCTTGACCTTCAAATATATCTCTCACAGATTGACTATTTCATAAAGATCACTTTTATTAGATTTCTAAATTAATTTTTATGTTCCCAAATATTTCTTGTGTATGGTAATTTAACTTATTTATTCATGGTTTTATTCACATTTTACAATTCACTGCCTTATAAATTGAATTATTTATTGATTACTACTTGTATTTGTTTTTTAATTTATGTAATTGTTTGTATTATTTCATCGATTAATAAAAATAATTAATTTCCTTTTCATTTGTTTCTTGAATAGCATTCTAATTTATAATTTGCTATCCAGTCGTATCTCTCAGAAGTTAAAGAATTATTTAATGATTTCATATCACCTTCATCTTTGCTAAAATTGTTGATAAAGTTGTTGTGAATACAGTATATAACAAAACTTAATTTTTTCCTAAACAGTTAGTAGTTATACATCATGAACACAAAAACACATGGACCCCTGGTTATACACACCCAGTTACCCAACGACACATATGTGGCAAAGACAAGCCATACCAGTCACTGTCGCAAAAATTTATTTTTTGTTATTATTTCACTGATTGGTTGCTTTATTTTTGCAAAGAAAATCCTTGAGGTAATCTAAACTTTCTCAATATGTCAAGAACATTTAGACAATTAAATATAATAATAATAATATTAATTTTAAATATATTTTTCTATAAAATAAATCAAAAATTATATTGAAAAGAGTTTTTAGTATATATCTGGTAAGACAAACACTATTAAAACAGAGGTGTACACTGTTACTAGGCATGTTCAAGTAAAATTGGGTCACAGTTTTAGAGCAAAAAATGGATATTGAATATTGATTAATTAAACTTGATCAATAATTACATTGAAAAGAGTTTGCAGTATATATTTGGCAAGACAAACACTATTAAAACAGAGATGTATACTGTTACTAGGCATGTTTAAGTGTTATTGGGTTACAGTTTCAGAGAACAAATGGGTACTGAATATTGATTAATAAAACTCATTAGTACAGCTTCTTAGAGGTTAAAGTTTTTAAAAAAATGTAAATTATCAATAACACAGATATTTACAATTGTTGGTTCCTATTCTTAGCAGTATAGCAAGGAAGCATTTTAATGAACCTGGTCTTTGTAATTCCTCCGTGTGTTGCACTGAGATTGTGAAAACTTAAAGTAAGAACTTGGAACTATACACACATTTGATGGTTCTGTTTTTAGTGTCTAGTTTAGTTTTTGCTATGTCATCGATCCCAATTGTTTTGATTTGGTTTTTGAAATGAATACTATAAATCAATAAAGTTAATCCTAGGGTCTGAGTTTGTAGTTGATTACTATTTGGCACACTGATCTAAATCTGAACTTGATACTAATACCATAACTACCTAGAAGTACATATGACAGAGCAGGTATTCAAATAAAAAATGTTTTAAAATACAAGATAATAATGACAGAAGGAAATAAGTGACGCACAATATACAGTAGGCTACACTATTTTATATAAGAATACATTTTATGGGAAAATTGAGGGCGCCCAAGAATTTTATTTTGACACTAGGCGAGGCAGGGTTTTCTTTCTCTCATCGATCTGATCTCAGATAGAGAACACGTCATAAGATTTTTGTTTTAATAACCAATAACTGGCATTAGTCAAAAATAGTAACCTCTAAGCGTGTATAGGTTTTACACACGAAGTTGTGTATAGGCCTAATACAATCATTGAGTTCGATTTTTAATTTCTTATCTCTGTGTCAAAATTAAGAAAAAAATAAGAACAAATTGAGGCTGAGGTAAAATGTCAAATGAGGTTTTTATTTTAAAAAATAGAAAAACCAAGAAATCTTATGTGACAAAAAAATATGATGTGCCCATATATGGGTATGATGATGTCATATCACATATTATCAAATTGTATAAAAAAAAGTTGAACATGTTCAACTCTTATTTTCCACCACATTTTATGTGACGCTTTTTGGATGAAATTTGATAGTGTAGAGAAAGATTTATATGTACTTTATTTGCAGTAGGTGTGACTATGTAATACCCTCTATATAGCTATATACTGCTGTATAAAAAAAAAAAAAAAAAAAAAAAAAGCCTGGGCAAAATATTACTGGTTCTTATATTTAAAAAAAATGTAGTTCAATTTAATACAACAAATTTGCAGTACATTTTGCAACTATTTTTGACAAAAGATAACTATATTTTTCTATTATCTATTTACATATTAATATGTTTGTAATTATATTTGTTTATTCTTTATCTCTTTATATATCAATACTATTACAGAAATATTTAATATAATTTACAGTACATTTGAGAAAAAAAATACTTTAAAAAGTACAGAAAAAGATTTTACTACATTATTTATGTATCAATTGATAAATTGACATTGTTATAATATTTAACCACTACCATTTACATAGGTAGAATGTTTTTCCCAAAGCTTATCCATTCTTTACGCTGCTTGTTTTTTATTTTGGTCAAATGTTCCCACTTTGATGAATATACAAATAACAATGGTGGGGATGTAATGAGTTTGGCATGACTGGCATGATTTCTGTATTACCCAAACTTATAAGGCCATCAATCAGCCTTAAGTTACCACTATATTAGAACATACAAGATACAAAATTGATTTATTGTCAGATGTACAACATAGTATTTGATGGATCCGATCCACCTTGTTTGTATAGCACTGTATGTAATGTTGGTTAGCACTTATGAAAACAGTAGTTCAACATATTTGCAGGCTAGTAAATAGGCAGACTCTACTATCTGCAAAGTGTACAGTTCAACAGTGACTTAATGACAAGGTATATACTAATGGAACATTGACTTTTTTTCTACCACAATAAAAACTTGAATCACCTAATGACATTGTTATGTTTATAGGAATTGTATCAACAAAATAAAATATTTTCAAACCTTGTTTAATGTAATAAGTTTTAGAATATATTGTAAGAGACAGGATCAAAATCTTAAAAGCAGTGAACGAGCTTGTTCTTTTTTGTTAGATAGGCCATCTAGTGTGTCTGAAAATAACCTTATTCAAATATAACATGATTTATTTATTTCCATCCTGTTTGGCTGAGATATGCTTGCTGCTGTATGAGAATGTTATTTATAATTTATCAACTGAAATGCCAGAAAAGCCTTTTGTTTTTTAACTTATTCATGAATGTAATGTGCAGTATAATAATTTTCATTATTTTATAATGAGTGGATATGGATGAGCATGTTAGAAAAAAAAAATCATTTTGATATATTTATTAAAATTATCCTTCCCTTGACTTTGCCTTTTGAATGAGTTTTCATAATCATTTCATATCATTTCATGTTTTCATATGTTAAGATGTTTACTAAAATGTGCAATACATTGAACCATGAAACAAGTTGCACACCTACAACATCAATGTTGTGATTTTAAACATTGTTTAACTGCCTTCAAAATGAGTTAATACACTATTAAATATTCTATGACAAAAAACTGTTGTATGCCCATATATAGTCATGATGTGCCTATATATAGTCATGATGTGCCTATATATGGTCATGATGTGATGTCATCATGACCATATTTAGGCGTGTCGCATGGTTTTGTCAAATAAAATTTGATATTCTGGACAGGTGTTTAGGGTACAACATAGACCTAAAATCCATACTCAGTACTAAAGATATACTATTGGTACTAACATCTTTAAAGCACCTTAAATATGAATTCAATTTAATTAATATAATGCTTTGCTCATTTAAAAACTGATTTACAGCTTTCAGATTTGGAAATCATTAAATTAATGACTATGCAAAATAATAAAGGAACAGTATTATTTTAATTTATGTATATTTTAATTGAAAATGTCTTCTCATTCTAATTTTATTAAAGTAAATAATTTCAAATATTGAATTAAATTGTTCAAAGTTTTTATCAACACTGGCAGTATATTTTCAGTTGTTTCCAGAACGTGTGCTTGTTTCCATTAAAAAATAAATGAAGTTTTTACGTATTTAGTTTTTGTGGGATAGACAGTATGGCGTTATTCAGTTTGCTCTAAAATACAGGAATATCCCAATGACACTATTAACTACAGTAAATAATTACAAAATGTTATAACATCTTTAATAATGTATGTCCATATGATGTACCCGCAAAAGCTTCCTTAATGATCACATGATATATTCCAAAGTAAAATATAAGCTCTAAAATGATGAAATTACTAAGCAAGGTACAAAACCTGTATCGTGCATACATTTTGATGTAAAGTTAATAATATAATTGTTTTTCTTTCTGATTTACGTTGCATAACCATTTTCACATCTGTTAGCTAGCACAGTTTCTACTATTTATTCTGTATGTAGGCCTTGCTCAAAAATTGGAAGCGCAAAAAACGGCTTAGTGAAAAATTGGAGTCGATTATTAATCGTTCCTACCGGGATCGAGCCGTAAGCCTACATTGCCAATTATTTTTGTCGTTTTGTTTGTTGCTTGCTTGTTTGATGCAGAATGTGTATAAGTTTGTCTGCAGTGTCCTCCAACAAACGATCCTATAGGCCCTTCATAATTTACCAGTCCACATGTTGTTTGTCATGAGACAATCAATTCATTTGATGAGGCATTATTTGTACTTACAATTACACTAAAAGCTTCTCTTTAGGATATCATTTATCTTCTTAATTAACTTCATACTGCAAAAAGAGTTGAATTGCTCAGGCATGAAAAATCTTTAAAAATCAAATTTAGATTTTTGGGGGTTTTTTTTCTGTGAAAACACCCCAAAAACATGAATTGCATTTCAAAATGCCATTTTACAACTTCTAATTTCATATATTTGTGACTTTAGCCCCTTGATTACCATTTTTTTTAATGTACAGGATGAATTATGGTGGTCAGTGCCAATACTGAATAAAAAATTTGCTGACACACCAACCCTAATTTTGGGCATCAAAACATTTGTTTTTGTCCTATTAAATATCATTACATTTTTATTTGGAAATTTTAATTAAGCCAGCAAATGAATTTTTTTTTTCTAGCAAAATAAATTAATAAACTACGGGTAGTTTTGTTGGACTGCCATTTGCAAATATAACTGAACTCCTTCAGAAGCAAGCTTACTCTCATTATTATTATTATGTTTCATTGCATGTTTTATTATTGATAGGAAGTTCTCATATCATTCCCTGCACTTATACAATTTGTCCTGCATTTTGTATGCATGCTGCGGTTCTTCTACTTCTGCTTCATTATTTCATATCATGTGATTCATCATTTTGTAATAGGAAGACATGCCCATATCCAAGTTGAGGTGTGATGGGTATGTATGCGTCCCATCCCCTCAAGGAATCAAAAAAAGGTCCACATTTTAAAGCCCCATTCCCGGCAAAGTTACACTAAAAAAAATTTTTAAAAAAAGCATATGCATTACTCTAATTATTATAAACCAGCTTATTTATTGGCATAAATTTTTGTTTTACGCTTAAGAAGAAAAAAGATGAGAAGTACAGACTATTTCTCATAGGAGTACCATTTTCTTGGCAAGTTTCTAGGCCAATTCAGAGGATGTAGATCACATCCACTGGCATGCTCTTGCCAGCTGCTTTTTGTGTATTCTTTATACAGTCGAGTGTCTGAGGTATAAGTTATTTTAAATTATCCCACAATTAATTAAATAAAAGCTTTAATTAATCCGATTTACTGAACTGTTCACATCGCCGATGCATTTGATCAGTATCATTAGGCTAGTGTTTGGGTATTATAATAGAGTTGAGGCTGAAACTGATAGTAAATCCCTCAAAACCAATCCAATACCAAAGCTGCAATTTAACAGCTCTGACCTTTGATCTCACTGGGATTCTAGTCTACCCCCACACTAATTATTGTATATTTGCAAACCCACTATCTCCCACCATCCAATAGCAATTTCCTGGAAGGATCAGTGACATATTAACCAGGCATTCCCATTATGTAGACCTTTTTTCTTTTCATACATTTTTTTTTCAATGGGAAATTTTTGGAAATCTTCATAATTAAAATGTACATGATGAGTGAAGATTCACCTATTTCTGTTAAATGTTGTCATCAAGTGGGAAAGCCAAATGCAGATTGTGCTCATAATGGGTTTTTCAATTATTTGACAAACATATCAAATAAAACAGAAGACAACATAATTACAGTACTGTTGTTTTTTTAGTACATCATTCTGTTAGTAGCCAGTAATAAATTAAAGTAATTTTAGAGTGGAGTTAGCTTAGTGGTTAAGGTGCTTGCCTTTTAATCTCAAGGTCCTGGGTTCAATTCCTGTATTAGCAGGACCTTTTCTCACAACTAAAAACAACTCCATTCCCTAAGCCTCATAAAGAAACATCGCTGATATTCGCATCACATTATTTCATTTATTTAAGAGGGCCCTGAATATCAGCCGACCTTCTAGGATACGTTGAAAGGGTCACCCTCTATAAAAAAAATTCCAAATGTACTTAGATAAATATGTACATATTTGATAAATCTGATTTCAGAGGGACTAGTTTTTACAGTTTCATATTACACCATATATGCATCCAGGCCTGTAAACAAGTTCATGGGGGCGGGGGGTTCCTATGGGCCAATGGGTCAAGTTTCACGCAGAAATGTTTCTTTAATAAGCAAACTTATGATGAAATATTACTACATTAGTAAACTGGAAAAAAATATTGGGGTTTGGCCAAACCCCCAAACCCCCCTTGGTTAAAGACCTGGAATTAATCAACAAATGTATGGGGTTTTTTTTTTTTTATTTCAATATTTTCTGCTGTGTGCTACTGATTAGAAATTTTTTTTTTATTTGATTAAATGAAGAGAAATAACCCAATTTTTTATTCATGTCATATAATAAATATAATATTTCAGTAATATTAAAAAATAATAAAATAATCTATCATACCATATTGTCAATTTTTATTTTTCTAAATAATTCTTTTCTAATTTCTTCTGAAATAAATTTTTTAATTGGTTGCATGTGCAGTTGGTTTGAGTGATGTTTTTCAATTTTGAAGTATTGACTGATTAGTTTCAGAATATATAATACAATGCTGAAATAATATATATTTCAACACTATATACATATATATATATGTATGTATGTATATATATACATATATATGTATATATATATATATTAAAAAATGAAGATTCCATGTTTGCTTTGATAAATAAAAAATATAGAAAGACAGCAATTTAAAACAGCTATGAGTTGTAAACATATTAGATGCAATATAATTTATTAATGAATTATATTGCTTCTAATATGTTTACAACTCATAGCTGTTTTATATTGCTGTCTTTCTATATTTTATATATATATATACATACATGTATGTATGTATATAGTGTTGAAATATATATATATATAATATAAATTTAAAAAGGCAACAAATGAGAAAAACCCATCAAACAGCAAACAGCCACATAATGCAAAACAATTTAAAATTAAAACGGAAAACTTAACAGTAGAGAAAATCCGATCAGAATGACAAAATAAACTAAGCATCCACTGGAAGGAATCCCAATATCTGCAGACAGATTCGTTTCAGCCTTCCAGGCCTCATCAGTGCAGCTAGGGTATAGACCCAAACGCAACGTTCGACCAGCTTATGTAGGGCCCAAACTAGTCCCACGACCACTAATGATTACAGAGCCAAACCAAGGCAATATATGTATACACAGCCCAGGTGTGAATGCAAATAGTGGAATACAAGCTATGCGGCTCAGTTCCAGGAGATACAAATTCTTACGAGACAGCACTAGTCCATGAATTTGTGAACAAAATCAGAGATCTAAAGATGCAATCTCTACCGTGCATCAATGGTGGCCCGCTGGATCTCAATAGAGATTCTTTAATAATATATAAATTTAAAAAGCCAAATGGGAAAAACCCATCAAACAGCAAATGGCCGCATAATGCAAAACAATTTAAAATTATATGTGTGTGTGTGTGTGTGTGTGTGTGTGTGTGTGTGTGTGTGTGTGTGTGTGTGTGTGTGTGTGTGTGTGTGTGTGTGTGTGTGTGTGTGAGTGTGTGCTGTCTCTTATACACATCTAGATGTGTATAAGAGACAGCTACTACTATTATTATTATACTATTATTATTATTATTTCTATATGCCTCTATATATATATATATATATATATATATATATATATTATGCATAGACAGCAGAAGGTCCTGGGTTCAAATCCTGGTTAGGGCACCTATTTTTTTCACGCTCGCAGATTCCTCTTTAACGTTTACAATTTATTTATATATATATATATAGCATTACTGCAAGATGATTTAGAGTATGTCTGTATCATATCACGATTCATATACAGTATGTATATATGAACATATATAAATTTATATATATTTTATGTAGATAATTTCTTTTTCAATAACTGGAATTTATACTAACATTTTTAGTATCTCCCTCACTTGATTTGCTGTTGATAAAACCATAATTTGTGTTGTTGTTGTTGATGATGATGATATCGATGATGAAGTTGACAGTGATGGTTATAGTGATGATGATGATGATCTTGATCATGAGAATGGTAATTAATGTCTCATATTAATAAGGTCAGTGAAGAGAATGAAAACAACGATGACAACGGCGACTACAATGTTTAGTATTGTGATCCTGATTCTCATTATTTTTATTATAAAAGCTAAAAGCAGTTTGTACATCAAAATACACAATTACAGCTTTTGTTTTAACTTCAGCACTATATTCATCACCAAAAGGTCCACTGATTAATCTCAGATAAGATAGTATAATACATACTCCAAGCATTGAAATGCACAGCAACATGTTAGGATCCAATATTTTAACATACAGTATGTCATCATCATTCCTGATAATGACATATTGAATCCCAACACGTTCGCGTGCATTTCAATACTATATTGATCAGTTACACGCAGTGAAAATAATAAGTTGAAATCCACTAAATTCAAAGTACAAAATCATTAAAGTTCATCACAATTTTTTAGTGACTGATCAATAACTCATCAAATGTACACATAAAGTTGCATTTGATAAAATTGCAAAACAAAAAAAAACAATTTCCTATCATGAAATTAAACATCAATATTTAATTTATTTTCAAAAATTAATCATATTAATTTGCATATTGGAAATAATGAAAAAGACATAATTTGATTATGAAAGTACACCTCAGAGAAATTGACTACACATAGTCTGACTACTGTACTATTATCACCACCAACTTGTGATAGTGATGATGATGATCCTAATTTCATAGTCATCATCTTCATCACCATCAACATTAATGTGACATCATAATCATAGGATCATGACATCATAATCATAGGATCATCATTATCATCATAATCATCAAGTTCATCTTATAAATATATTATCACCAAGACCATGATGCAGATATTAATGTTGTGATGAAAGTTGCTATATTAACATTATTATTATCATAATTTTCAGTTTTTTTAATTAATCTATATTGTATTTCTTTCTGTAATGTGAATATGTAAATGCGCTCTAAAATTAGTATTTACACACACTTTTCATTCTGTGAAATCCTTTGAGTTTTGTGTCCACCATTTTAGTAATTTGTTTAGATACACTTGCATTCTGTTGATTAATTATATAATGTATTTATGTTTGATAATATTTCTTATGTAACTCTCTAGTATGTTGTATCAGTGACATTTCAAATCAGTTGATGTTGGTTTAGTGTAGAGTCATGTTATTCCATAAACTCTTTGTTGATATTTACTGCCTTTGTACTTAAGTACTTGCGTATTTGCATGGTTACAATTTTATTAATTTCGTTCAAGTATTATTCACCATAATATACTTTTAAAATATACTGTCTGGTTAAATCAACATAAATTGTTTTGTTTTTTTTTCTTATTTTTTTTTTTTTGAGAACAAAATTATGCTTTTTTTTTAAAATTCTTATGTTGAGTAAAATATACAAAGTTCAAATATTGTTTTTCTTGTTGATGAGCTTAATATAGACAGTGCATTTTTAAATGTTATATTTTTGTTTTGTTTTTTAAACATTTCAATGGATTTTCTGCATTTGATGAAGCATTACAGTGTTTAACTGCTGTTCTTCAGTAGTCTTACATTGGTCTCCAACCACTCTTAAGTAACAAAGTATGGAAAATTATTAGCTTTTGAATAGGACTTATCATATCATTTGTTTTCAAATACCTATTCTTATATTGGAGTTTATTATACTAAGGTATTTCATTTACTTTCAATTTACTCAAGAATTTGTGGTGAAGACAAGCCAAACCAGTCACTCCTCGTGAACCATGTTTCAGAGATAATGGCCAAAACATGTTGGAATGTCAAAATTGGCTAAAATAACCTTATATATATCTATACATCATGCTATGTTGTTATTTTCCCCATTTTCATTGTTAAAACAACATTTTTTAACGATCAATTTTAAAACTTCGATATCACTGCTTAACCTTGTATATAATACCTAAAAATAATTTTTTGCGAGGAGTGACTGGTTTGGAAACATTTATTTTCTCACTTGGTTGAATAAACGTACATTTTGAATTACTTTTGGTTCACAAGCCTGGTTTCCTATAAATCGCTACACTGCGCAATCATAGTACTGCTTAGCAGTCACCAACGCTAATTGTAAGGCTCCCCAATTCGACCAACCAATCAGCATAGCTGAAAGCTGTCAGTGATAGCGTGTAGCAATTGTATGGAAACCAAGCTTTGTATATTGATATCCTGTAAATAGTTGAATTTAAAATTTTAATAACATATTTATTACATATGGACACTTTTTACATTTTTTCTGATTTTATCGTTTGCTCTAAAATTAATACTTTGTCATGTTTTATCATATCTTTTAGGACCAACAAACAATCTTAAGGACTTGGGCCGTGAAGGACTTTGCACCAAATATTCCACTTTATGTCCAGATCATGAAGCCAGAGAACAAGTTCCATGTCCAATTTGCAGGTTAGTTTTTAATGCAAAACAAAAAAATTAAGTTCACAGTGATGAAGGTACAGTTAATGATTATCATCGTTGTAGAGTATGAATTTTATTTTTTAGCTTACTTAAAGGGTCTTAGTGGTATCCACACCTCCTCATCCCCCTCCCAAGCTTATGGAGTATTTCTTAGAGTTAAATAAATCTTAATTAAACCATTGGTAACATCACCAAAGACTTTTCGTGCACCACCAGAAAAATAAAAGATAACGATACACTAATTACTGCCAAAATTTGGACATTTATGAGGAATATACAAGGTCATTCGTTGATTGATGATACCACAACAGTCGTTTTAAATGTTTTATTCTTATTGGGTTTACTTTATGAGGTTATATTGCAATCTACTGCAATCCAATCTTATACGTTGCATATTGATATGAGCAAAAGATAAATGAATGATTCTGAAAATTGATGAAGTATACTATATCTTTTAATCACTGAGACTTTGCGAGGCAGTTCTTTCAAACTAAAATAAAAGTGAAAGAAGTTTCATGATTATGATAAAAGAAAAATATGTGTTAATAATTTTTTAAGATTACCAGTATATTGTATTTTGAAGAATAGTTTTAGTATGGTACATGAGAATTCCACATTATTTAGTTGATCTTTATTGAAATTTCATCTTACTTTAATAAATATTTTATTTTGTAATTAACTCTGACTATCATATGTGTATGATCGAGTATATAAACTGATTGACAAAATTAGTATGTTATATTATTAAACAAGTTTTTAACAGTGATAGATAACCCAGCAAGATTTCTGAACATTATGGTTAAACAGGATAGAAAATGATGTGAACACAACATTGCAGGTGCAGAAATTATGTTATAGTAATAATAATAATAATATGCTCCAAGTTGCACTTAAGGGGAATATCTTTTGTATTATTTTCCCTTTAACGTCATGTTATTTTCCCCTTAACGTCATGTTATTTTCCCCTTAACGTCGTTTTTTTTTTAATTGTTCTCTAATTTCTCCATTGTCTAATTTCCCCTTAAGGTAGGTTTTAGTAACATAATAATAATAATAATAATAATAATAATAATGATAATGATAATGATAATGATAATGATAATGATAATAATAATAATATGTTGGTATTTATATTGCATTCTACACAGCTAAGTCTCAGAGCACTTCACGTTATTATTCCACTTCTGGAATAATGCCTGTAGAATACATACTCAGCTTCCTATGGGACTATTCGATAATGTGCTGCATGAAACAAATCAGCGCAGATCACTCAAACCTTATAGGTACATAATTTACTCTTGGGTAGAAAGAGACAGCATGGAGAAATTCCAAGGACAAAAGAGTTATAAGAAAGTATAATACATACTCCAAGTATTGAAATACACGCCATCGTGTTGGGATTCAATATTTCGACATTAATTATGTCATCATCAGGAATGATCATCATCATGTCATATAAAAGAGTTATATATATGTATTTATGGATTTACTAAAAAAAAGTTTTGAACACAATTATTATTACAAGTAGTTAGGTGGGAATACAACAATTAAGTAGATAAAGCCAACATATTTGTAGTATCTGACAGAAGAAAATATGGTGGATTACTTCATGTAAATAATGTGGCTTATTTATTAGAATCCCAGAACTTTTGACTATGAGACAAAAAAAAGGAAAACAAGATGAAATTGTAAACTGTATGTATTGGCCGAACTACTATAAACTTAATATATAAATGCAAGTCCTAGGGCAGTTTATTTATGTCTCCTATATAGAATTATTTGTTAGAACCATGGGACTAAACAGAACTTATATGAAGTAATTAAATCAATGAATATTTTCATTCCTCAAATTAGAAAGCCAAACAGGCTACTGAAATGTGAGAGTTTCAGTTATAATTAATGTAAATATGAAGTAATAAGGCTGTGATGCATTATGGGCAGCACTTAGCACCAAGTTCATGGCAGATGAGTTTGGGGAAAATTAAGAATTCTAATTGAAAACGAAACATGAGAATGCTGCGTAAATATTTTATCAAAGATTAAAATGCAGTCTTGCATAGATGTCAGTCCTACATCTAGCCAAACGAGCATCAAAAGTCATCAGAACTTTTGGAGAATGGTCAGTAGGAATGGCATAGTAGAAATAGCTCTATTATCCCAACTAAACATCTCCACTAATGCCACTTTCCACACTGTCAATTCTATTGTGACTTGCCTAAGCATAGTTACCAACCGTCTCGCATTGTGCGGGATGGTCCCACATTTCAAAGTGATTTTGGATGAAACACGCATTTTGCAGAAACACATGTGTGATTATGATAACGAATTATCACAAATTCAGGGGAAAATGTATTTAAAACTAAGAAGAAATTGGTTTCATTAAATATATAAAAACGATCATGCAGTTGAGTCATTAGAAAAGTTTTCGTTATTTCGTTTTAGAATTATCTACCAAGAAAATTTCTCTTTCCCGAACAAAACAACCCAGCCAATCTTGCACTTAGTCGAAAGGTCCACTGATTAATCTCAGATAAAGATAGTATAATACATACTCCAAGTATCAAAATGCACGCCATTGTGTCGGGATTCAATATTTCGACATTAATTCAATATTTCGACATTAATTATGTCATCATCATTCTTGTTGATGACATAATTAATGTCGAAATATTGAATCCCCGCATCTGGACCCCGGAGGGGGCATTGGTGCGGAGGCCTCACCACCTCCCCTGCCCGGCGGCTGTTAGTCACGCATTTCAAGTCTCCCATGTTGGTAACTATGCCTAAGTATGGCCATGATAACATCACATCATGACGATGTATAGGCACATTATGGTATGGGCATACCATAATGTTTGTCCAAGAAAATGTGATTGTCTGGACAGGACTTAAGAAATAATAACATGAGCATACCATGTTCCGTACTGTAATCTATGTGTGCACTACTTGCTATTGTGTATGAGTGAAAAACAATGACAATCATTAACTCAGTTATTGCCAATATTACGACCGGTAAATTTTTTTTTTTTTTTTATCTTGCAGACCATGTTGTGTGTGAAGATGAATTTAAATATGCATTACTGGCCAATAATTGTCTTTGTCCAGCGACTTCCACGTTTGTTACCTTGCTAATACACACATCAAGAGGAGTGTAAGTCATATTCTCAAGAAAGTAGCTAAACGCAAGAATCCATTTCTTTTGGCAACCTATTATATTTAATGATTCTATTATACTATTTTTCAGATTTCATAATCTTTTATCAGTATCACAACAATAATAATGAAATCCTTGACTGATGATTCTCATTCATGTTTACATTCTTTCTTTATTTTTATTTTTTTGTCCGTAAGATTTTTGGAACACATTCTCAGGTCTAATAATACATTAAATTTGATTAACAACTATTTTAGTCATCCTCAGTTGGGTTTCAATTGGTTTCAGAAAGTAATCAGAATTCACCACAATTAATTTATTTTCTTCGAATTAATGTCTATTTTTAATCTGTATTGCTTACCATTAATTTTTTGATGCTTCATCCTCAGCTATTTTTCAATTAGTTTCAGAAAGTATCAGAATTTACCACAATTCATTTATTTTCTACAAATTAATATGTTTTTTAATCTTTGTTGCTTACCAATAATTTTCTAATGCTTTATGCAGTAATTGTAGCTATATTTTATAGTGAAGTTGAATAGCTTGGTGGTTAAGATTCTTGCCTTCCATTCCCTGGGTCATCGGTTCAATTCCTGTCAGTGTTGCAGGATTTTTTTCTGATGACCAAACAACTCCACTCTCTAAACCTCATATTGAGATTTCGTTTGTGTAAAGCATCACATGTGTATGTTTGTCTTGTGAAAGGGATTGTCACCTACCAGTAGAACAGTGATATATATTCGCAATTGACAATCTTTGGTGTATGTGTTAATAATTAATATAAATAATACTTTTAACATTCTGTGTTTGTATTATTACAGCATAGATCATATAATAACATAAATAATTATTACACTTTGTGATGTACTTTCTTTACTCATTTTCAGTGAGGGAGAGACTGCAAGTTCCCAGTGGCAGAAGATCTATGGCCGATGTTCTGGAAATGAAATTTACCATATTCAGCTGAAACAAAGCCAATTTTTCGGAGAATACGAAGGAAAAAGTTTTACATTTGCAACATTTAATGCACATAAAAAGTAAGATCAAGATGCAACAATCCTTGTGAGAGAGTAATAAGTAAATTTTTTTCTTGATATTTAACTGTAATAATAACATTGATCGAGTTCCTAGTCCACATATCAAGCGCCCTGAGCATCTTACATTAGATGGATATGTGCGCTATATAAAACTACACTATTAATACTATTATAACACATAAATGCACCATCTATCTAGGAACTGAAGAAAATAAGGAGCTGCATTTGATACATAATGGGATAAAAAAAAAAGGCAGTATTCATCTAAAGTCAATTAATATTATATTGATCGCACCCACACAGCATGTATTTTCATACTTTGTCAGTAATTATAAAATGAAGTGTGGGCGAATGATTGCATCGATTACATAATATTATTAGTTTTTAAATTCTGTTGTCTTTTTGCTTACTTTCATAATTAACTGCAAGTAATGACTTAAAATAAAAGAAATTTTTAATTTTTATTAAACATTTATTTCTACATATAGATTATGCATGCAAGTCTAGGTTCACCCTGCTATGACTGAAAAACATGTACAGTAAATGTTTTCAAGCTGAAAATGTGGCATGGCATCGGGCTCCAGTTAGAGGGATAGCTTTATGTTAAATGATTGTAAATTGTTGGTTTTAGTTCATTGTTATTAGGTTTTTTTTATTATTAATGTTATTGTTATTGTAGGTATGGAGTATCGTTAATTGGCATCAAACGGCAGGATTGCAATGCTGACCTGCAGCTGAATCCAGGGCCTAAGCACATCCTAAAGGACACTGACACATGTTATTATATGAACATTACAAAGGAGGAATACTCTGCATTCATCCTCGCCCACCCACGAGAGGAGAAGGAAAAATTAGAGAAGAAAGACAGCAAGTCATCATCTCCCACAGTCGGTGATCCAAATGTGTCCAAGTTGGAGAGTGCCATCTGTAGTGTTGGTGAGTCTTTATTAATTACCTTTTTTTTTTTATTTGGCTAGCTGAGTTTAATATCCAGTATTTATTAGTGCAGTTCATTTTAGCTCTTCAGGCTTTGATTAAGCTTGATTTTTAGACTTAATATATGCTCCTTATATTACTTATTTTTAGAATTTATTAATTTATATTTCCTCTTTGTATTTCAATAAACTGAAATTCTTCATTATGTTGTTATTCACTGATTTTCTACTTATTTTCTGTTGAGAATTTCAAAAATAATCCAATCCATCTAATACATTGTAATTAAATATTATTTCTATATTCTTTGTCTGTTTTTCTGTTATTCAATTTAATCTTTTACTTCCCTTTTCCTTTTATTTTAATTTGTTGAACATTATTTTTTTTTTTTTTGATTAATTGTATAGTAACTATTTATGTAAAATTTATGTTTTCAAATATTCTACACTGCAGCCTTGGGATAAGAATACTTATTTTTTGATTATCCAAGAAATTTCATGCAATCAAAAAATGATTTTTAAAAATGTACAATGGCATCTTTAATGTAATAAACTGTCTTATAGTTTCAAGAGTGCATATCTGTCAAAGGTCAATCAAAAACCCAAAACGTGATTAGTCCTGAAAAAAAAAACTAATTAAAATGTTTAAAAATCAACTTTGAATATTTATATTACTTCTGTAAATGATTAACCTCTCTCAAATTAGTCAAGAGCTGATCTTAATAAACACTACACTATATATGCAAATTTTGTTTCATGTATTCTATTTTGAATATGCATTGTGGTGCTTGTTATACATGCCTGGCTTTTTTGTATCATCAGGACACTATCAGAAAATAATACATGTTTCCATTACCAATAATTGATAAGAACCATTTTCGAATAAGTGCATTTCGGGATTAAGAACCTAAATCTGAAGTCCCAGCAATTATTTGGTCAGTTACGGAACTGTTGCTGATTTTAATGGTACAGTAGCCAAATACAGCAACAAATATTCGAATATATATATATATATATATATATATATATATATATATATATATAGTGAAGAAAAGATGTATGATTTGTTTCGTTGTATGCCTTGAACTTCGACATAGACATGTGCACTTAAAACTATAAAATGTTTTATTAAAATTCTCTTTGATTGGATAGTTGTTGGCTATGAATTAACTCAGTAATAACCCTGTTTGTGGTTTTATAAATGAATGCTGTAAACTTGCATCTAATTTGATATTTTTTGGAGTTGATACAGTATATTGATATATTCATTTTTGTATTGAATGAATCCACTGCTTGGAATTTGTCTCTCTTTGGATAACAGTTCTATATGAATGCTTGGGTTTAAGACCAAATATATGTTTTATCTTGACTTCATCTTCAATTATCTTGACTGTATGTATGTAAAGCATTTTCTTTAACTGTTGGTAAATGTGGTAAATATGATATTTTTTTATTATGTTGACTAAGTAATGATGTATAATCATGCACATTTTTTTACTGGATATTCTAATATGATATGGTGGATTCTTAAATTTGTCAAAATATATTTATAACCGGTTTTTATGTCTAACATTTACTCATTAATCCCTAACACTGTGTTGTAATTATTATAATATTTGATAAAGGTACCCTAGCTTTAGAGATGCATCATTACGGCCCGAATAATAGTACCGGTGAATCACCGGAGAAACAACGCACAGAACCAACGGGTCAGGAAAACCCTGGCAATGGTATGTTCTTCACAACATTCACGGAACAACACGCTGAACTTTTTATGTTGTTTGTGTTCACTGTGTCGTGGTGCTGTACAAAGTCTGTTGTGTGTGAATTTTGTATTGGTGTGTATTTTGTTGTTTGTATGTATGTATTATAATTTTTGTCTTCATATACTAATAGTAATTAGTTTGGTTATTGTTGTTGATGCAATCTTGTAACTGACTTTGCTCTTGGTTCTTACATGAGGCTCATGAATTTAAAGTACTGAACAGAGAGCCTAAAATAATCGTTGGTGGACTAGGGTAACTCAGTTCACCCACTAGATACGCCACTGCACTGTAGCGTATTCAAGGGCAGTGCTTAGTGGGAAAAAAAATGTTGGAAGCCTTATTCAAAAGGTTATTTGAGAGAGGTGATTATTTGGTCATTAACGGTATTATATTTTTAGAGCTTGGCAAATAAATTCCAATTTTTTTGTGGGTTGGCCGGTGTAGTCGCTTTGGATGGTTTGCAACTGTGAGGGCGTTTTAAAAAGATTTTAACTTGCTGCTTGTGTTTTCAGAATACTTTTGATGAGGCACGCACTAAAGATGCTAAAGTACACCTGTTATCTATCTGTTTTAATGATGTATTATTACTGTGTATTTATATCATACATCATGCTTATTAATATAGTGACAGTTTAATGTATTATAGACAGCTTAGGTTACAGAAAAGATATGGAAACTTTTTCAGAAAGGATGGTAACCACAATTATATTCTTGATTATTAAGTCTATGAAAATTTTTTTTTTCTCTCTCTATCTATTCTATCCTTTCATTCTGTACCTATCAATGCCTCATAATTTTCACAACATGTATATACAATAGTTTCTCTTTTCTTTCCATTCTCTCCTTAAGGATACAGAGGTATGAATATAAAATATGTTCTGTTTCTGAAATATGTCAAGCATGAAAAATGCAGGCTATTGTATCCATCCTTCATTCATTTTTTTCATTCGTCGTTTGTTTTTCTATACCGCGTGCTTCTCTCAGCTACATACCACTTTGACGACGATGTTGAAAGTCATTTCAGCTATGATTTAGATCATGATGATGATGACGATAGTAATAGTGGTGGTGGTAAGTTAATATATAAAGCTAGATTTACAATAGACATGATAACAATACGGCAACAACATCATCGCATAGTTTGTATTCTTCAACACTGCGCGCATCTGTATCCTGTCGTTGTCATGTCGTAATCGTGTCTAGTGTAAATGGAGCTTAACTCTGCTTTCTTGTTGTATTTTCATTTTGCTTCTAAAAATTTCTGTAGATTTCTTCTAACAGATAGATATTTAATTCAAATATTTGATCTTTGAATGCTATTAAAACTTATTTAGTGTTTTAATGCATTATTTTCCATAAATATTTACACTCTTTATATACAAAATAATTTGTATTACAGTTATTTATTTGGTCATAGCAATATCAATATGTCTTTCATATACTGATTATGTTGGCTGCAATATTGTGACTATATTTCACTGCCTTCAGGTATTTATAACTGAAGATGAACAAATAAAGAGTTGAAATATTGGATGCCGTGGCAGCTATATCTGTACTTGGGAGTCTACAGTCTTAGGCACAGTCAGGTGATCAAGCAAAAGCTTAAACTAGTCTAATTGTTGTTAGCCATGGGTAGTGCAAATTGAGATGCTATTTGCATAAGCTACTTTAAGGTTACTTCAGATGATTCACTCCTTAGGAGTTGTGTGCTACATGCATGTAAGCAGGGTATTTATAGTATCGCTCACGGAATGAACTTTTTGGACACACTTTACCTACAAGCAATGCGTTCCACATTTTTTTATTTATAATTAATAATTTTAAGAGAATTGTAATAGTCTTCAATTATAATATGGTAATGGATATGGTAGAGTAGTAGTAATTAATAATTTTAAGAGAATTGTAATAGTCTTCAATGATAATATGCCCCAATAATCAAATTCTGAATTAAAACTGATTTTCTTGAGTCATTATATGCATTTTTTTATCTTAACTAATTTAGTTTTTAAAAGGAATCTCCCTGATAATCAAATTCTGTAACACACAATTGATCCACATGCTTTAACTACTGTTTATTCGCATTGTTTATAACATGTAAAGTTAATTCATTTGATATTTAACAAAAGTGAAGTTTGTGGTTATCTATGAGTTGCATATTTTGGTAGTTAAAGTACTGTATACTGTATGTCATTCCTCTACTTTGTTAGTGAAATAACGTTTTTTAAAACTTTTATTTCTACTATCAAAAAATGTTATTCAATGGCCATTGTTTTTCAATTATCTCTCAGAACATTATTTGCATCTGCTGTAATTGTTAAAAAACAAATGCTTTTATAGAAATTTAAAAAAATCACATATTGATCTCAGTTCAAAGGAAAAAATAAAACTTATTTCTAAATTTACAATTTTTACCTATAAACCTCTTAAT